ACAACCATCTGCTGGCATAGCTGTTGGTCAGGGGTGTGAAGAGGTGTGATCTCTGATTGACAGGTGGAAGAGCAAATGCCCTTAGCGTAGAAACTGCACATTTACCGGTACAACCTGTTTCTCTCATGGGGGTGATTTTGCTCTGCTGGTACAAAGCACATCCACAGTAGAAGCACTGTGCCAGTCTAGTACACCAGTAAAGTGTTCCTAGTGTAAACATGGTCTTAGCAACCATCTGATTATCTCCAGCTATAGTCCACTGAAAGGTATTGGGGAAATAAACAAAACTCTTCAAGTGGAGTACAGCCTTGACAAGAATATGTTGTCAAAGATCAGCCTCTCTTGATTCCAGTAATTTAATTTGGGACTTCGGTCTGATTTTTAAACACCAATGTTCACTGGGTCAATTAACAGTGGAAGAAGCATACGAGTAGTGGCCATTGGCTGGAGCGTCCCAGATGAGTGAGGCAACCCCACATCAGACTATTTTATAGCTCAGTGGTGAGAGCAACCCTCTGAGAGGTGGGAGATCCTGTTCTTGAACTTGGGTCTCCCGTATGCCAGCTGAGTCCTCTGTCTGCTGAGCTAAAGTTTATAAGGTGGGTTCCTACTCACAAGAAATGGCTTAGCTTACTCAGTCCAGGAGGGGGCATCCTGGCTGTGGATCACTAAGCAGAGATATGCACCTCCCTGAAGCCTTGACTTTGGCTCCAATCTCAGAGAGGACAGAGCTTATGACACATCCTCTGGTTGGCATCGCCCATTGGCAAGTTTAGGCAGCCCTCCACTTAGCATGCTGGCTTTTATGGATCACATTCATAGGTACCTCTCTCTCCTAAATAGGGAGCCTAGGCACTTAATTCAGGCTTTGGGGATGGTGTTCCTGTGACTTTCTAGATGCTGAGTGTTGCCATGCCTACGTCCCTTTGTGGAGCCAGGCCATCATGCTTTTCAAATGTGGACTTTCTTCTATGAAGTAGGCCCCCTGATCATTTTATGGAAGGGCAAGCTGAGCTACAACAAGGTTAAAATGATTTGCCCAACAATCCTATAGTAACATCAATAATCCTGATAGTCAGGCCTGTGCTCTACCCCCAAGGCAGCACTGACTCTGTTATTCTGCCACTCATAAGAATGTATTGCACATCATAAACTCTAATGAATCTGCTTTTTGGCAAGAGAGCTACATATTTGTTCTTAAGAGGACATTTAAAATTGCAGACATAGAAACAAAATGACTATTGCTGAATAAATCATAGAATCATAAACATGTAGGGCTGAAGGGACCTCAAGAAGTCACCAAGGCCACTCCTCTGTGCTTTTGCAGGACCCAGTAAACCCAGACCATGCCTAACAGGTGTTTTTCCAACTTGTTTTTAAAAGTTTCCAATGACAGGGATTTCACAACTTCCCTTGGAAGCCTATTCCAGAGCTTAACTAGCTTTATAGTTAGAAAGTTTTTCCCAATATCTAACCTAAATCTCCCTAGCTGCAATTAAGCCCATTACTTCTTGTCCTATCTTCAGTGGACATGGAGAACAATCGATTCCTGTCCTCTTTATAACAGCCCTTAAGATACTGAAAGACTGTTATCAGGTTTCCCCTCAATCTTCTTTTCTCTAGATGAAACATGCCCAATTTTTTCAACTTTCTTCATAGGTGAGGCTTTCTAGACCTTTTAGCATTTTTGTTGCTCCCCTCTGGACTGTCTCCAATTTGTCCACATTCTTCCTAAATTGTGGTGCCCAGAATTGGACACAGAACTCCAGCTGGGAGTACTTGGCAAATGGGCAAGATAGTTAATGTGATTTTTTTTTAATTAGATCAGCAAATAAATAACGCTAGCTATGAGGTCCAAAAGGTCACTTCTGAGTAGACTACTATGGCCAGACATATTTCAGACAGACCATGGACAAATACAGTAAAGGCATTTTTGCATTCCTTGATAACTATAGTTATTTGGCCAGCAGCAAGCTGAGATTTATCATGTTTGTATTATAAATAGTAGTTGCATTAACCATGAAAGCTAGGTATTTATGGGTTATAAAACTTTTTTTCCTCAAGAGAAAAGACCCAAAAAATCTGCTAATATGACCACAAGCAAACTGTAAATCCTCCTCAGGAGAACTGATTTGTGCTCTTTTTAGAACAACATTTGCAACTTATATAACAAATTTAATCCACAGTTCTCAAAGCACTTCAGCAACATGAATTAAACCACACAATATTCCTGTAAGATATCACCATACTTATCTTGGAGATCAGGAAACAGAGGCACAATGACTTGAAGCCCAGTGCAAAATTATTGTAATAAATAGCAAGACTCCTATTGACTGCAGTGGGTGTTGGATCAGACCTTGTGCATGATCACAGCAAATCACTGGTCAGGAGCTCTGACTCCCATTCCCCACTATTCTAGCCATTAGATCCCACTTCTTCTCACTATAACATCTTGTAGCTGCAATCAATGGTATCTGTCAGAAATAAATTGTGCTAGAATCTTTCCTCCACCCTCTTATACCATATCCATCGCTGTGTATATTAATAAATGTGTAAGGCCAAAAGAGGCAATTACAATAAACTAAATTGACATCCTGCATAGCACAGGCCATAGAATTTCACCCAGTAATTCCCACAAATTGTGGTTGAGCTAGAGTATATCTTCTAGAAAGAGACAAACACTCTCTTGATTTAAAGACTTTGAGTGATGAAAAATCCGTTACATCCTGAAGGAAATTGCTCCAATCATTAATTAACATCACTGTTAAAAACTTGCACTTTAATCCAAGTTTGTTTGTCTAGCTTTAGCTTCCAGTTGTTGGCTCTGTAGTATCTGAATGCCTCCCAAATAGAACAAATGCAAGGTTTAGTCCAACATGTAGACGAGATGTCTTCCTCCTCCCCAAAATGTGGCTAGAAGCTTTATTATGTAGTGTATTGTATTATTATTAAGGTGTATACCTCTTCTCTTCATCCTACTATCTTAGCCTTAGAACTGTTGCTGTGGCAAAGATAGGCTAAAGAGGTGGATTTTCCACTGCTCCCCTGAAAGTGGGGAGACCCATAGTCATTCTCAACTCCTCCCAGCAGGGAGGGAGTTCCATAGCACTGGGCCAGCTGCTGGAAAAAGCTCTGTCCCCTTGGCATGAGGTTGACCCTTTCATAATCCCGGTGAAACTTAGTTCCTGCAGGAACTTGGGGTTCCTGAGCAAGAGGCATTTTTATGTAGCTTGGTTCATGGTCATGGAAGTCCTTAAAGAGGAGGACCAAGTTGAAGTGTATATGGAGTGTTCCATGTGGAGCCAGTGTAGTGAGCAGAGTACTGGGATGAGGTATGTTCAGCAACTATGGTGGCTAAGGATGCTGTGTTCTAGAGCAGTTGGAGCATTATGATCAGTTCACTTGTTCCCAAGTACAGTGAGCTGCATGGGACTCACAAAGGCATGCCTTCTACTGTGCCCAAGTCACGGCTCAGCAGTATGGGGCCAAACCTCAAGCCAACCTCAGATGGAAGGAGGAGTCCTGGGAGCCATAGCTTGTAGTTTCCAGTAGCAGTGGAGGGTCAAGCAGAACCCCAAGCTGTGACTATTTGGGGAATCTCTAAAAAGGGGGAGCTGCTGTTTTGGTGACTAAACCTTCAAAACGTTTATGGCTTCCCACCAACACAATTCTGTCTAACTTGAGCCAAGTTTCAGTCTGCTGCTTTTCATGCAGTTGCTGATCTAGGCAATGAGCTACCTGGGGTGATGGTTCTATTAGTGGGGGAGGTGAGCAAGACAGAGCTGGGTGTCATCCGTATTGCTGTTGCAAGCATAATGTTCCACAATTTCTCCCTAGAATGGAGGAGTCATGTTGTTCAAGCACAGGACTAGGCACCAGGAGAGCTGATTTTTACCCCCTGCTTTGCCACAGGCTTTCTGAGTGATGCTAGGAGCTATTTGTGCCCCAGTTTCTCCATCTGTAAAAGAGGGATAATGATTCCCTACCTTTCAAGGGTGATGTGCGGGACCTTCAGAAACTATAGTGAGGAGCACCACGGGAATGCCAATAAGGGCAAACTGAAAAATGCAGGCTGTCTTCTTATAATAAGTATAATGCAATTCAAAATCTTCATCACACACAGAAATGAAGTTTCTTTATCAGTGACAGGTGTACCTGTGGGTATCTCTGAACCATGTTGATGAAAAGATAAGAGTTACAATGCCAGTACCAGTTACTGCAGCACTTCTTATTACACTGGAAAGCAGCTCGTGCAGAAATGGGATGTATTTTATTTACATGAAACCACTACAAACAATAGTGGGCTGGAGCTCTGAATAGGTGACTAGTAATGTTGGTGCTCAAGGGTCAAGCAACACTATAACAACCAGCACAGACACAGTAACTGGTAACATGCCCAGACTGTGCAAAGGCAGTGAATCACTCTTTCCTATCTCTAGCATTGTGTTATTAAAGATAAATTAGGTTTCTAATTGCTAAGTGAAATGTTGTCATGACTGAAGAACTTTTCCCTGCTTTCTTCTTTTCCAATTGCAATTGGTGTTTCCTAATAAAATAGTTCATGAGCCAAACCCCTTCCAGGCCCTCAGAAACAGCGTGCTAATGCAACACCACAAGGAACAGCCTTACAATTAGTAGGAACCCAATCAATGAAGTTGTCATATGTCTTCCACTGCACGGGAATGGAGTCAAGTCTTGTGTGCTTTTCCCATCAGTCCTGGAAAATCAGATTGCTGTTTCCAAATGTGTATCTGGAAATAAGGGTAGTCCCCCTTAACATGGTACAGACTGACACATCGGAAAAGTTAAGATCAAATAAAATTAGAATTTAAGATCCTCAATCCCAAACATTTTCTGCTGCCATTGAGCTGATCAGATCATTCCCCTTGTACTCAAGAAAAAAAGAGCAGAGGATTTCTGAAAAATAATTCATTCAGAAATATTTTTGTTTGCAAACTAGCAATTTCTTGCAATGATGTAACACTTTTTTCCCTGTTTCAGTATTGTGCACAGCATAAACCTCATACATTATCACACTAGACCAGTTATATTGTAACATACGTTGTGAAATCATTTTTCTTCTGGGTATCTTCAGCTTGATTTTGCAAAATACAAAAAGCACAGAACATGATGAAATTGAACAATAATAAAGTTACAAAAGCTATGAACTTTAACAGGAGGACCTAATACAACAAAAGAAGCTAGGGATATTTCCATTCAAAAATATTTTCAAAACGTTTTCTTTTCTAAGTCATAAAGGACAGGATACAGATAAAAATCATGTGTGAAAAGCACTTCGCTGTTACCAACAAAATACTAGACTTTTTAAACTTACATTTCTTTCTTTATGATGATTATTTTCTTTTAGCCGCTCACTCAGTTTGGACAATGAAGCAAACTTGTTCAGTTTCCTAGCATTGTTTGTTTGCGTTTTGTGTGTGTGTGTGTGTGTGTGTATATATAAAATCAGCTTCATTTTGGGCTTTTTCTGGCATTTTTAGATCATTAATCTCTCTCTAAGTGGTCTTGGTGTCACTAGATGGGAGAGAACACCACACCCAGGATGTGTGTGGGTTACACACACGCGTGCGCGTGCACACACACACACACACACAGTGTCAGCTGCTACATGTCCTAAGGATGTGTAGTATGTATCCCTTCTGTGGCCGTGGCCTCACCTCCTGCCCACCCTTTTTAGGGTAATTCATGCTTCCAACTGCATTAGCCAACAGTCTTTGTGGTGTGGGGAGCATGAGGAATGCATTTATGGTTTGGGCCTATGTGGAGTGACACATAGGGGAATGGGGAAGCTCATTGTACCCTTTCCTCTTCCCCCAAGTTCATGCACCTACGCAGGTGCAGGGACAACCTGGCCCTACGTTTGGGTGCAATTTACATGGTACTGTCCATTTACCACGTCCCTCACACTAAGAAAGGTGTTGAGTAAGAAGCACAAGCCCCTCTTGTCTGTGGAATCTGTTAATGTTGTAATGCCGCAGTGAAGGTTTTCCCATGGAGCACACAGTTGGGATGGTTCCCAAAAGCTTCACACTGCATTCTTTAAGGCTGGTTTTGGCTGTAACAGAGGGTATATTTTGGGAGAGGGGACTGGCGACCTGCCGGGTGAGGATGACCCCCTACTCCCAGCTCCATCTTTTAGCTTCTGTAATTTCAGGCTATCCTGGCTAGAAGTTTCTGCCTTCCCTTCTGAGGGCTTTGTTGCCATGTTATTCTTTGCTGCCAGCTCTCTGCCATTTGGGCCAGCTTCTTGCTTGCTCGGAGTCCCCATTCTGTTTTTCCCTTCACTGCTGTTTGCTGGGGCACTTGAAATTACCTGTGCAACCGGATCCTTTATTCCTGGTTGAACTGGCTCCTTCGTATCTTTCCATCTTCGGGCCCCAGATTTTGAATTGTATTCATACATTTTGCCAGTGACTGGGTAGGGGGAAAAACACAAACAGTTAAACTATTTCTCCTTTTAGCAGACTAATGGAAGGAAGTTCCGCTCAGCTTGTCAGTTAAAAAGAAGTAAATCTTAATTAATTAGCCTCTTACTCCATTTTTCATGTTCTCTCTCTCTATGTATGTATGTATGTATGTGTATATGTGTGTGTGTGTGTGTGTATGTATATATATATATATATATATAAAATCTTCTTACTATATGTTCCATTCTATGCATCCGATGAAGTGGGCTGTAGCCTACGAAAGCTTATGCTCAAATAAATTTGTTAGTTTCTAAAGTGCCACAAGTACTCCGGTTCTTTTTAAAATCTTTTGTAGTTAATAAACTTGTTTTATTATTTTATCTAATCCAGTGTGTTTTAAATTGAAATGTCTGGGAAACTCTATTTGGGGTGACAAGATGAGTGCATATCATTCCTTTTAAAGAAATAAACTTTTATTGTCCAAGAGAGGGATGGGCAATATAGGACATACATTTCTGGGAGGAAACCTAAGACTGGGAGTGTACTGGGGGCACCCTGCAGTATAACCAAAGCTGAGACGAGTCAGAGTGTAACCCATGTGTGTCTAGCAGGCTTCAGTTACATGTAGACCCTCTGGGTGTGGCTTGCATGCTGGAAAGCTGTTTGTGAGTGGCCCAGGTGAGAGCTACTTCAGCAAGGCATTGTAAGGCACCCAAGATTGCAGGGCAGGAGTGACACAGCTGCTAATTAGTCTGGATTGCACCTGGTATGTCACAGGTGGAGATTCCATAACCTGCCTAGGTAATTTGTTCCAGTGCTTAACTACCCTGACAATTAGGAATTTTTTCCTAATGTCCAACCTAAATCTCCCTTGCTGCAATTTAAGCCCATTGCTTCTTGTTGTGTCTCAGTGGATAAGGAGAACAATTTATTATACTCCTCTTTATAGCAACCTTTTACATACTTGAAGACTATTATCATGTCCCCCCTCAGTCTTCTCTTCTCCAGACTAAACAAGTCCCGGTTTTTCAATCTTTCCTCACAGGTCATGTTCTCTAGGCCATTGAACATTTTTGTTGCCTCCTCTGGACTTTCTCCAATTGGTGCACATTTTTCCAGCCTTTCGATGCATTAAGGTATAGATCTCACAATGGCCACTCGTTTAGGCGGAAGATCAGTGCTGTAGCTTTTGACTCAATTCTTTCTCTCTTCTTGTCTGTCCTACTGTTTTCTGAGAGGCAGCCCGACCCGTCGGCTTCTCTGTGTTCTACCGTCGGTAACCCCTGGATGCGGTGGCACCAGTGCATTTCTGCTGCATGAGATGAGGGTGAGCTCTCAGCAGCTGTGCAGGAGCGAGACCCATTGACCCCTGCTGTGCTTCCCTGTGGCGACTTTGGAGGTTGTGTCAATACATCTACTCCTACTCCACAGGCCGACCCCCCTGAATGTGGGGGAGGGGTGCAACGGCCACAGGGATTTCTGCAGCCCTAGCACTACGATCGCAGTCATGGAGCAGTCCTTCCTCCCCACTCCCTCTGCTAAGTCCACGATGGGGTAACCAGATATCAAGTGTGGAAAATCGGGATGGGGGTGGGGGGTAATTGGCACCTATATAAGAAAAAGCCCCAAATATCAGGACTGTCCCTGTCAAATCAGGACATCTGGTCACCCTACATAGTCCTGCTTGGCAGCAGTGGCACCAATTCAGATATTTCCACAGGGAGACGCTTTGCGGGGGGGTGGGGAGGGATTCTGGTCACCCCCCTCCCACTCTCCTAACAGAGACTCTGTTCTCGTCCCCACTCATCTGATCCCCTGGCCGGACTCCCCGAGTCTCCCTCAGGCTAAGAGCCCCTCCTCTCTCTTATCCACACAGTGCACAAGATGATGCCACCAGGAGTCGAGTTCTCAGCCACTCCCCTATGCTCTGCTTACAGGAACGCTCTTCCCCATGCGCAAGGTAGTAACACCATTTTGATCCAGCCACCCCTCCATCTGTCTAGAGGGGTGGGCAGGTCAATTTTCAGTGGTGTTGCCACCATGCAGCCAGAGTGACTCTCTGGACCCCTCCAGCAGCAGCTGTACTGATTTACTACAGAACCACTGCTTAAAAGTGGTCAGGCCATGCCCCCACCCCACCCCCGGCTCTGCTGCCTGTGGAACTTTAAACAAATGTAAAAATCTTGGGGGAGGGTTTTGCCCCTCCCGCGGCCCTTCCAACTGGTGCCACTGCTTGGCAGGGGGAACTGGAGTTTTCCCATAATGCATATTCTCTCTGTATAGTCACTGTACATGCTTTCGAGATATTTAGATATCTTAGCTGATTTGTAAATGTTACTAGGGTATTGGCTTGATTTTCATAACCTGTGAACATAAGAACGGCCATATTGGGTCAGACCAATGGTCCATCTAGCCCAGTATCCTGTCTTCTGACTGTGCAGGGCCAGATGCTTCAGAGGGAGTTACCAGGACAGGGCACTTTCATTGTGTGATCCACGCCCTGTCACCCAGTACCAGCTTCCAGCACTTGCAGGCTTAGGATACCTAGCACCTGGGGTTGCATCCCTGAACATCTTAGTTAATAGCCATTGATGGACCTATCCTATATGAACTTATCTAATTCATTTTTTAACCCAGTTATACTTTTGGCCTTCATAAAATCCCATGGCAATGAGTTCCACAGGTTGACTGTGTGTTGCGTCAAGAAGTTCTTCCTTATGTTTGTTTTAAATTTGCTGCCTGTTAATTTCACTGTGTGACCCTTTTCTTGTGTTTAGGTGAAGAAGTAATAACACTTATTCATGTTCTCCTCACCTTGCATGATTCTATAAATCTCTATCATATTGCCCCTTATTCGTCTCTTTTCCAAATTGAAAAGTCCCAGTCTTATTAATCTCTCCTCATATGGAAGCTGTTCCATTCCCCTAATCATTTTTATTGCCCTTCGCTGTAACTTTTCCAATTCCAATATATCTTTTTTGCGATGGGGCGACCAGAACTGAATACATTATTCAAGGTGTGGGTGGGCCATAGCTTTACATAGAAGCATTATGATATTTTCTGTCTTCTTATGTATCCCTTATTAATGGCTCCTAACATTGTTTGTTTGCTTTATTGATTACTGCCGCACATTGAGCGGATGTCTCCAGGGAACTATTCACAATGATGTCAAGATCTCTTTCTTGAGTGGTAACAGCTAATTTAGACCCCATCATTTTATATGTATAGCTGGGTTTATATTTTCCAATGAGCATTACTATGCATTTATCAACATTGACTTGAAATGTTACTCCCATTCTCCTTGGGAAATAAGTTACCTTATTTCAAGCCAAAGATTTAAATTCACTTATAATTTTTCTTTACCTGGGTCTCTGGCTTCTCCATTAAAGACAGTGTTTATCTTGGTCATTTCCTATGAAATGAAGAGACACACAATGTGAAATCAAACCTGTGAAATAATTAAAGAAGGAGGAGGAGCTGTGACTTGGACATTTTTATATGACCTGCATGTTGCATTAGGGGGAGTTTAATCAGAACTAGCAACAAAAGCTATTGTGGCTTAGGGTGTTGCCACCAAATGTTCAGAGGAGAATTAATCAGTTCTGATGTGCTCAATGACTCCAAACATGCAGTCACAAGAGGGGCATCTCCAGAGGAGAAGAGGTTTGGAAATTCCTTATGGTAGACCAAAGTTCAGATCAAGCCACACAGTTGTTTCCATTCTAATTCATAAAAACTTGTGAAACCCCCTGTTCATATTTACATCCCCCTCGCCCCATCATTTTAATGCAACCAAAGGGTGCAATTCTGCCTTTCAGGCACTGGCCCATGTTGAGGCAGAATGGACACATGACACTTTCTGGACAGAGAGAGAGCACACACACGCACACACACACGTACAACGTGCCAGCTGCTACGCTTCTTATGGACGTGTAGTATGTATCCCTTCTGTGGCCAGGGGCTCACCTCCTGCCCTCCCTTTTTGGGATAGCTCATGCTTCTAGCCGCATTAGCCAACAGTCTTTGTGTTGTGGGGAGCATGAGGAATGCATTTATGGTTTTATGCATTTATGTTGAGTGACACAAAGGGGAATGGGGAAGCTCGTTTGTACCCTTTCCTCTTCCCCCAAGTTCATGTACCCACACAGGCGCAGGGACAACCTGGCCCTACATTTTGGGTGCAATTTATATGGTATTGTCCATTTACCATGTCCCTCACAATAAGAAAGGTGTTGAGTAAGAAGCACAAACCCCTCTTGTCTGTGGAATCTGTTAATGTTGTAATGCCAGGGTGAAGGTTTTCCCATGGAGCACACAGTTGGGATGGTTCCCAAAAGCTTCACACTGCATTCTTTAAGGCTGGTTTTGGCTGTAACTGAGGGTATATTTTGGGAGTGGGGACTGGTGACCTGACTGGTGAGGATGACCCCCTGCCCCCAGCTCCATCTTTTAGCTTCTGTAATTTCAGGCTATCCTGGCTTGAAGTTTCTGCCTTCCCTTCTGAGGGCTTTGTTGTCATGTTGTTCTCTGCTGCTAGCTCCCTGCCATTTGGTCCAGCTTCTTGCTTTCTTGGAGTCCCCATTCTGTCTTTCCCTTCACTGCTATTTGCTGGGGCAGTTGAAATTACCTGTGCAACTGGATCCTTTATTCCTGGTTGAACTGGCTCCTTCGTATCTTTCCATCTTCGGGCCCCAGATTTTGAATTGTATTCATACATTTTGCCAGTGACTGGATAGGGGGAAAAACACAAACAGTTAAACTATTTCTCCTTTTAGCAGACTAATGGAAGGAAGTTCCCCTTAGCTTGTCAGTTAAAAAGGAGTAAATCTCATCAAAAGGTCTGGAAACTCTGGTCAGTTTGGCAAGCCCAACTTCTTCATCTAAGTCCTAGATTTTCTATTTTAACTATACCGGTATAGTAAAGCGGCAAAACTCCCGTACTGTGGATGCAGTTATAGAGGTGTCGAAGTGATTATCCTGGTTCACGAAGATGAGTAAGCAATACCACTATTAGGCACCTTTATAAGGATATAGCTGTGTCAATACTAGAGGCTGTAGTAGTTTATTGACCCACCCCGCTAACTGATGTAGATATCCTGGTATAACGATCTAGTGTAGACCAGCCCTAAAACACACTATTATCTAGACTAAGAAAGACTCTGTGTGTGATAGGTTTGCTACATCGAAGTAGCTAACTATTTGAACAAACAATTTGAAACACCACATGGCATCTATTGTAGACATCGTTCAACACCTTTAAACTCAGGTTAGTTGGTCTAAGTTCACCCCAGGCTCAGAGATCTGGCATCACCAAAGATCTGGCCTATTCATTGACTTTTAATTTGCCTAGAATGCTTTCCCCCTGACAGATGCTCTATACTTCAGTGAAAGATAATGGGACGATGTGTTCTCTCTGTTTACATGCTGGGGGGAACTCATAGTTACAGGTCCTGCAGTCACAAATCTTTGGTACTTTAGTGCACTGTGCAATAGTGCTTTGTTAGAAAGTACTTATAGCCCTCTGTAGACTTTAATAGTGACTCTTCCCTTGTACACTGGAAACAGGCATCCACTACTTCAGCTCATTTACTTTCCACAGATATGTAGAGAAATTTCCTGGTGTCCATTGTAATTACCTTATTGTCTAAATTACTCCTTACTTGTTAAGTGGACAAGGGCAACTAGCGGCATTGCCTATAATTAATTAAACATTATTTTTACCAGGTACTGTGAGACAAAACGACTTTTAAGGATTGGCGAGAGAAGTGGAGGTTCTATGCTATAGTTAGTACTGTATCAAGATTAATGGATCTTAACACATTAGTGAAATGTGGGCAATTTAAAAATAAAATTGGATCTCTCCTCACATGATTTGGCTACTTATAGATTAGGCACTTTAGAATAGAAAAGAATAGGGAATGTCTAATAGCCTTATATGTAGCTACCAGCACAAAAGGTGCTGAGGTTACAGCCTGAAAATGTGGATGTTTACATACGCTCCAGCAGGGCTTTCATGCAAGGTTTAGTTATTGCACCAGTGGAGTTTGCAGGACACCTGACCCAGCTCCTCTTGAGTCTGCTGAACTGAGCACTTATGAATCCAAGTCTGGCAGGTGGGATGTTGTGGCACTGTCCCCAAGATGTGCTCATTCATCCCAAAGAGCACTCGCTCTGGGAATAACCCTAGTGTGCGTGGCAGTTTTCATTTTCAACCGGCACGCACCTGCCAACACAGCCATCCTCCGCCAGGCTGCAGGAACGCACTCCTAGTGAGCACATATATCTCCGCTGCCCCTGCAACGTTGTACTGCAGCATAACATTTAAGTCAGGGCATAGCACAAATGTCATCCCACTGTGGTGCATTTCAGACCCTCTGAACTCTGTAGCTAGAGCCTGAGCCCAAACAGCTTTGTATTCGTCACGTTTAGATGTAATGTTTGTAGACATTGTTCACAGAGCCGTGTCAGTCCCAAGATATTACAAAGACAAGGTGGGTGAAGTAATATCTTTTATTGGACCAACTTCAGTTTGTGTGAGAGAGAAGCTTTCGAGCTACTTGGGAAGAGGAAGAGCACTGTGCAGCTTGAAAGCTCCACAGGTACCATAGCAGGGAGTGGCCCAGATGATACGTCTGAGGGAAGGGAGCAGAAGGAGACTCCACCAGTTGAAAGGCATGAGATGCACTGTCCTAAGGTTGCGGGTTCCATGACCACCACTCCCAAGAAAAGGAGGCGGGTGGTGGTGGTCGGGGACACTCTCCTCAAGGGGACTGAGTCATCTATCTGCTGCCCTGACCGGGAAAACAGAGAAGTCTGCTGCTTGCCAGGGGCTAAGATTCGCGATGTGACGGAGAGTCTGCCGAGATTCATCAAACCCTCGGATCGCTACCCCTTCCTGCCATTCCACGTGGGCACCAATGATACTGCCAAGAATGACCTTGAGCAGATCACTGCAGACTACGTGGCTCTGGGAAGGAGGATAAAGGAGTATGAGGCGCAAGTGGTGTTCTCGTCCATCCTCCCCGTGGAAGGAAAATGCCGGGGTAGGGATCGTTGAATCATGGAAGTCAATGAATGGCTACGCAGGTGGTGTCGGAGAGAAGGCTTTGGATTCTTCGACCATGGGATGGTGTTCCAAGAAGGAGGAGTGCTAGGCAGAGACGGGCTCCACTTAACGAAGAGAGGGAAGAGCATCTTCGCATGCAGGCTGGCTAACCTAGTGAGGAGGGCTTTAAACTAGGTTTACCGGGGGAAGGAGACCAAAGCCCTGAGGTAAGTGGGGAAGCGGGATACCAGGAGGAAGCACGAGCAGGAGCGTGTGAGAGGGGAGGGCTCCTGCCTCATACTGAGAACGAGGAGCGATCAGCGGGTTATCTCAAGTGCCTATATACAAATGCACAAAGCCTGGGAAACAAGCAGGGAGAACTGGAGGTCCTGGCAAAGTCAGGGAATTATGATGTGATTGGAATAACGGAGACTCGGTGGGATAACTCGCATGACTGGAGTACTGTCATGGATGGGTATAAACTGTTCAGGAAGGACAGGGAGGCCAGAAAAGGTGGGGGAATAGCACTGTATGTAAGGCAGCAGTATGACTGCTCAGAGCTCAAGTATGAAACTGCAGAAAAACCTGAGAGTCTCTGGATTAAGTTTAGAAGCCTGAGCAACAAGGGTGATGTCGTGGTGGGAGTCTGCTATAGACCACCGGACCAGGGGGATGAGGTGGACGAGGTTTTCTTCCGGCAAGTCGCAGAAGCTACTAGATCGCACGCCCTGGTTCTCATGGGCGACTTCAATCATCCTGGTATCTGCTGGGAGAGCAATACAGCAGTGCACAGACAATCCAGGAAGTTTTTGGAAAGTGTAGGGGACAATTTCCTGGTGCAAGTGCTGGAGGAACCAACCAGGGGCGGAGCTCTTCTTGACCTGCTGCTCACAAACCGGGAAGAATTAGTGGGGGAAGCAAAAGTGGATGGGAACCTGGGAGGCAGTGACCATGAGATGGTCGAGTTCAGGATCCTGACACAAGGAAGAAAGGAAAGCAGCAGAATACGGACCCTGGACTTCAGAAAAGCAGACTTTGACTCTCTCAGGGAACTGATGGGCAAGATCCCCTGGGAGAATAACATGAGGGGGAAAGGAGTGCAGGAGAGCTGGCTGTATTTTAAAGAATCCTTATTGAGGTTACAGGGACAAACCATCCCGATGTGTTGAAAGAATAGTAAATATGGCAGGCGACCAGCTTGGCTTAACAGTGAAATCCTTGCTGATCTTAAACACAAAAAAGAGGCTTACACGAAGTGGAAGATTGGACAAATGACCAGGGATGAGTATTTAAATATTGCTCAGGCATGTAGGAATGGAATCAGGAAGGCTAAATCACACCTGGAGTTGCAGCTAGCGAGGGATGTTAAGAGTAACAAGAAGGGTTTCTTCAGGTATGTTGGCAATAAGAAGAAAGCCAAGGAAAGTGTGGGCCCCTTAATGAATGAGGGAGGCAACCTAGTGACAGAGGATGTGGAAAAAGCTAATGTACTCGATGCTTTTTTTGCCTCTGTCTTCATGAACAAGGTCAGCTCCCAGACTACTGCACTGGGCAGCACAGCATGAAGAGCAGGTAGCCAGCCCTCTGTGAAGGAAGAAATGGTTCGGGACTATTTAGAAAAACTGGACGTGCACGAGTCCATGGGGCCGGATGCGTTGCATCCGAGAGTGCTAAAGGAATTGGCGGATGTGATTGCAGAGCTATTAGCCATTATCTTTGAAAATGGCGATCTGGGGAAGTCCCGGAAGATTGGAAAAAGGCTAATGTAATGCCCATCTTTAAAAAAGGGAAGAAGGATGATCCTGGGAACTACAGGCCGGTCAGCCTCACCTCAGTCCCTGGAAAAATCATGGAGCGTGTCCTCAGGGAATCAATTCTGAAGCACTTAGATGAGAGGAAAGTGATCAGGAACAGTCAGTATGGATTCACCAAGGGAAAGTCATGCTTGACTAATCTAATTGCCTTCTATGATGAGATAACTGGTTCTGTGAATGAAGGGAAAGCAGTGGACATGTTATTCCTCGACTTTAGCAAAGCTTTTGACACTGTCTCCCACAGTATTCTTGTCAGCAAGTTAAAGAAGTATGGGCTGGATGGATGCACTACAAGGTGGGTAGAAAGTTGACAAGATTGTCGGGCTCAACGGGTAGTGATCAATGGCTCCATGTCTAGTTGGCAGCCGGTATCTAGCGGAGTGCCCCAAGGGTCGGTCCTGGGGCCGGTTTTGTTCAATACCTTCATTAATGATCTGGAGGATGGTGTGGATTGCACCCTCAGCAAGTTTGCGGATGACACTAAACTGGAGGGTAGGGATAGGATAGAGAGGGACCTAGACAAATTGGAGGATTGGGCCAAAAGAAATCTGATGAGGTTCAACAAGGACAAGTGCAGAGTCCTGCACTTAGGAGGAAGAATCCAATGCACCGCTACAGACTAGGGATCGAATGGCTAGGCAGCAGTTCTGCAGAGAGGGACCTAGGGGTGACAGTGGACGAGAAGCTGGATATGAGTCAACAGTGTGCCCTTGTTGCCAAGAAGGCCAATGGCATTTTGGGGTGTATAAGTAGGGGCATTGCCAGCAGATCGAGGGATGTGATCGTTCCCCTCTATTCAACATTAGTGAGGCCTTATCTGGAGTAGTGTGTCCAGTTTTGGGCCCCACACTACAAGAAGGATGTGGAGAAATTGGAGAGAGCCCAGCGAAGGGCTACAAAAATGATTAGGGGACTGGAACACATGAGTTATGAGGAGAGGCTGAGGGAACTGGGATTGTTTAGTCTACGGAAGAGAAGAATGAGGGGGGATTTGATAGCTGCTTTTAACTACCTGAAAGGTGGATCCAAAGAGGATGGATCTAGACTATTCTCAGTGATAGCAGATGACAGGACAGTAATGGTCTCAAGTTGCAGTGGGGGAGGTTTAGGTTGGAAAAACTTTTTCACTAGGAGGGTGGTGAATGCGTTACCTAGGGAGGTGGTGGAATCCCCTTCCTTAGAAGTTTTTAAGGTCAGGCTTGACAAAGCCCTGGCTGGGATGATTTAGTTGGGATTGGTCCTGCTCTGAGCAGCGGGTTGAACTAGATGGCCTCTAGAGGTCCCTTCCAACTCTGTTATTCTATGATTCTATGAAAGCTTGTATCTCTCACCAACAGAAGTTGGTCCAATAAAAGCTATTACCTCACCCACCTTGTTGCTTTAGAGCTAAGGTAGTCTGGAAAGCCTAAGGAAAGGACATGTCATATATTTGTACACAATAGGTTGTGGGGCTGCTACAAGGTAACCAATCCAGTTTATTTCTAGCCAAACATTTAAATTCACTTTTAATTTTTCCTTACCTGGATCTGTGGCTTCTCCATCAAAGACGGTGTTTATCCTGGTCATTTCCTATGAAGAGACACACAATGTGAAATCAAACCTGTGAAATAATTAAAGAAGGAGGAGTAGCAGTGACTTGGACATTTTTACCTACATGGATTGAAGCAGATTTATATGACCCGCATGTTGCATTAGGGTGAGTTTAATCAGAACTGACAACAAAAGTCATTGTGACTTAGGGTGTTGCTACCAAATGTTTAAAGGAGAATTAATAGGGTCTGACCTTCTAAATGACTCCAAATGTCATGTTAGATGTACGCAAGTCTCTATTACCTGGAATTAATCACGTCATTTTGCTCCATCATATCAGAACTAAAAAATTTAGAACTTGAGTCTCCCCTCAGTTACACTGCTTCTGGTCAGGAGTAACGCTGTTGAAGTCAATGAAGTTACACCGTGTAAAATTGGTTTGAATGGAGAAATAGGCCTTTTGTTGTTCTCCTTCTGCTTGGCCTTCGGATAATAATCTCCTTTCTGACCCCCGTGACTCCACCTCTCTTGTGTCTGATATAGGAGGATGGAAAATGTAGTCTGGCTGGGGAGCCCAGTCCATGGAGGTGACTGGGGGGGATGATGCACCTGAACTACAACTCCCAAGAGGCACCACAGTGGGATTTCTGAATAGAACATTTTCAGGTTTTGGCCAAAAACATTTTGATATTTGGGTGTTTTTGTTTGTTATAATGAAAAGTCAAAATATATCACGGAAACAAAATTTTTCATGAACCATGTTTGCTTTAGTTGAAAAACCAATTCCCTTCTAAAGCAACTTCGATGGAAAATTTTCGACCAGCCCAAATGACAGCATTGTGTAGCCTAAATAGCTCAAGATTCCTTCTTTTCAGTGCCTGCTTTCTCAGTGTTTAATATCACATACTGGGCCAGATTTAACAGGTCATATTGGTTTGTTTTTCCAAAGTCACTAAATAAAAACCCTGACCTGGTTCACCCCATTTCCATCTCCTCATCCAATCCCTCCATAAATCAAAATGCCCTTCACCGTAATCCTTTCCTCAGGTAGGAAGGTAACAAGCTAGACGGTTGAAAATCCTTACCCTAAAGGCCCACAAACAAATTATGGACCTAACAAACCCTGCTAAGTGTCACCATTCAGTCACTCTGCTTCCCACTGAATCCCGTTACTCACTGTATTTTGTGTGTCTGTCTGGATTGTAACTCCGTTCAGGCAGGGATCTGGGTGAAATCCTGGCCCCACTGAACTCAATGGGAGTTTTGCCATTGACTTTAATCAAGCCTGGATTTCACCCCTCCTCTATAAAACACTGTTGGTGGATAAGGAGCTTCATGCTTAGCAGATTGGGCTCCAGACTGGGAGTCGGGACTTGCACCCATTCCCATCTCTACTATTGACCTACTGTGTGATCCTGGGCAAATCACTTCTCTCTGTTTCCCTTCCTACTCTTTACCTGTCTTCTCTCTTTAGGTTGTAAACTCTTTAGGGAAGGGATTGTCACTTATATATGTACAGCATCTAGCACAACAGAGCGCCAGTCTGAGCTGGAATCTGAGTGTTACTGTTATATTAATAATAATCCTACAGTCCTTGTTTAGACCAGACTCTCATTGGCTGATAAGATCTGTGGGACCAGAATCTAATATGGCATCATTGATCCACTTGCTAAAATTCCCATTAGTATTTCTAGTGATGGCTTCCAATTCTCAGTCTGTATATATGAAAAAACCACTAGGATATGTCTACAATTAAAAAATAGCACTATTCAATATTTTTGAAATAGTGGGTTTGTAGAAAACATGTATAGTGGCAGAAACAAACTATGCCAAGAATTCTACCTTGCAATCTCCCTCATTGGCATCAAACAAAAATTCCACAGGTTCTGTGACCATACTTTAGGACTGGTGTGGGCCAAACACTTACTTTAGTTTGTGACTTACAGTACTTACCCAAACCTCTTCTTTCTTAACTTTCTTCTTTTCTACAGGAAATGAAATGTACATTGTAAGAAATCAGAATTTTTTTGACTGTGATAAACAGACATTAAAGCCAAGATTTTCAAAAGTGATGAGTGAGTTTGAGACACCTTTTAAAAGAAGAGCCTGACTTTCACAGGACAGATGATCAGAACTTTCTGAAAATCAGAGCCCTTTGAGGTATTTCAGGTTGGGCACCCAAAATTGCTAATCACACTTGACAATCTTGCCCTAGAAGTAGAGGTGAATAATTTGCCACAAATAATTTTCCTCAATTAATTTTACTTTCCATTGATTGTTTGAACAGATTTAGAAATTGACATGTATTCTTTATTCAAAATTATTCACACCTTTGAAGAGTGAATAATTTGCTTTGGGGATGAAATTCCCCTCTGTGCAGACAGACAGCACTAGGGCTATGCACAACTGACCTCCCAATCAAGCCGTATTGTGAGGATACAGCTGCTGCAAAGTCCTTGCACTGGCCCTCTACAGGAGAGTAAATTTTACCTGTGGGGAATATTTGAACTAAAATGTAGCTTTCATGAGTATTTGCACTTGTAAAGCTTATGCACTTGCAAGTTCATGGAAGCCAAAACAAGAAAGTGTTGCAAACCCAATCAAGCAACATTCTGATTTGTAAAATGGATTGGATATTTGCAATCTCTTTCCCGCACCCAACTCCCATTTTCACTCATTCTGAGTTAGTAGAGAGTATAGGCGCCAACTTTCTAATATGCCGGGGGGGTGCTCCCCTGGCTCCACCCCTTCCCCCACAGCCACAACCCCACCCTGCCTCTTCTTGACCCATTCCGACCCCTCCGCCGAGCATGCCCCGCCAATCAGCGCCTTCTCTCCCCCCACCCCAGTGCCTCCTGCATGCTGCAGAACAGCTGATCCATGGTGGGCAGGAGGGAGGGGGAGGTGCTTATTGGCAGGGCTGCCAGCAGGCAAGAGGTGCTGGGAGAAGGGGGAGGCACTGATAGGGGATTCAGCACCCACTTTTTTTTTTCTGTGGGTGCTCCAGCCCTGGAGCACACACACAGTCAGCGCCAACAGTAGGGAGACTGGGCTTCTCTACAGCACAGATCCATGGATGCTGCCCAATTTCAAGGGTGCATGCTGCCTCTATATTTCTGCATTTCCATTTTTGTTCCCTCCTTTGAGGCTTTTTTTTAATCTCCCTTCAAACAACACCTCCAGCCACCAACAGGCTCTGGTGGTTGGCATGTGATGGCCTAAAATGTATAATTACTACAGATGGGTCTGAGCCTGAAAAATTACTTCAAACCATCTTCCTTTTCCCCCCTACCAACTCAACTTTTGGGGCTCAACTTGAGGCAACTTGAAGGGACCCAATTTTTCAGAAAGTACCAGGCATCCAGCCTCTGAAAAACCAGGCACCTCTAAGTGTCTCAAACCAGGCACCCAAAATCACTTGTTATAGGTAAAAAGAAAAGGAGGACTTGTGGCACCTTAGAGACTAATCAATTTATTTGAGCATAAGCTTTCGTGAGCTACAGCTCACTTCATCGGATGTTCCCCGATGAAGTGAGCTGTAGCTCACGAAAGCTTATGCTCAAATAAATTGGTTAGTCTCTAAGGTGCCACAAGTCCTCCTTTTCTTTTTGCAGATGCAGACTAACACGGCTGCTACTCTGAAACTTGTTATAGATGAGAATCATGGCTTCCAAATTGGGATGGCCTGGTTGTGTGTGCGGTGTCCAAAAGCTGGTTGTTGCTGAGTCAGCTCAAACTGTATTTAGGAGATTGAACTAATGTAGAGTGCTGGTAAGGCTAGTTGGAAAATAATTAATAAATTCCTGCCCCACCATGCCAGAGCACTAGACATTTTCATAGATTTTTAAGACCAGAAGGGACCATTAGACCATCTATTGTGACTTGTATTGGCACAGGCCATATAATTTTACCCAGTTATCCCTGTATTGAGCTCAATACATAGGTCAGTACATGGATTATGTATCTGAAAATGGAATTACAAATTTCTCTGACTAAGGCTACGTCTCCCCTACAAGCTCGGGGTGTGATTCCCAGCTTGCGTACACCTACTAGTGCTAGCTCTCATCTGAACTAGCATGCTAAAAATAGTTGCATAGCCATGGTAGCATGGGCAACAGCAGTAGCAACGCAAGCTCCCAGAGGTACAAAGTACAAACCCAGCTGATCCCCGGGAATACGCTCCCAGCACAGCAAGCCCATGCCACTGCTGCCACTCTCCATGTTACTACAGCTACAGTGCTACTTTCAGCACGCTAACTCAGATGAGAGCTAGCGTATGTGTACAGGAGCTGGGAATTACACCCCTAGCTGCTAGTGGAGATGCAGCTTAGTAAGTGGTGCGCTTGTTCTTAAGAAGTAATGAAAGCATTAAAAAAAGATACATACCTGGTGTGGTTTTCCTATAATAAAAATATAAAGTCATCAATATAGTAAAATATGCAATACCTATGCCTACAAAAATATCATGTTCCAGTTCTAGCCCTAAGAAATCCTGTTCTTTTTTGATTTGGCAAACAGGATATTTTCTTGTGTTTGACCTTTTTCGGTTTGTTTAGTTTGGGCATGTTTGTTCTGCTGCGCCTCAGCATTATTAACTACTGCTATTGAGCTACCAGAAGCAGTAAAACAGCCCTGAATATTGTTTTTGCGACTCCCAAAAGAATGGCTGTATATATATTTTTTAATCTTATCAGTAAGAGCATGGTGGAGTTATACAACCCCCCAAAATTATACTTTAAAAAAACTACACTCCCCATCCAATACTAGGGCTGAGCTAATATCTTTTAAAATATTTGAAAGGTTTAAAATGTGACTTGAAAATATCAAGATTGCTTTTTAACAGGAGATCATGAGTCTCGACGAATCATTGTCACCAATTAATAAATAATAACAATAGCCATATTATATGCCACTGTATCCATTTGTCATTTCTACCACACGTTGCTAAACTCCTTGCACACACCTCTAGAATAGTAACAATATCTCGCAGCTCATATGTTATCTCTAAGGCTGCGGGTCAGTCATGGAAGTCAGGTATTGCGTGACTTTCCGTGTCTGAGGACCTACTGAGGCAACCCCTGGGCCAGCAGCAGCAGTAGTGTGGGAGGGGGCCTCAGGGCTGGGGCAGGAGATTGGGATGTGGGGAGGTGCTTACCTAGTGGGGGAGGCTCCCTGGAAACAGCTGGGACGACCCTGCAACTCCTGACTAAGGCGGGAGGGCCAGGGGGCTCTGTGGGCTGTCCCTGCTTGCAGGCACCACCCCCGCAGTTCCCATTGGTTGCGGTTCCCGGCCAATGGGAGCTACAGATCCAAAGCTCGGCAGGGGTAGTGTGCGGTGACCCCCTGGCCTCTAGGAGCTGCAGGGACACGGGGAGCCAGGTAGGGACCCTATCAGCCCTGCCAACTGCCAAACCCCCCTCACCCCCCAGCACCAGCGCGGGTCCCGGGCTGCGTGCCAGCACCCGCCCCCCACCCCTCCCCCAGCACCAGCACAGGTCAAGGGCCAGCACCCGCAGCACCCCCAGACTCCCCACCCCCACCCCAAGCACCCACAGGCCCCAGGCCAAGTTTTAGTTTTGGGTAATAGTACAAGTCACAGACAGGTCACGGGCCGTGAATTTTTGTTTACTGCCCATGACCTGTCCGTGACTTTTACTGAAAGTACCCATGACTAAAACATAGCCTAAGTTATCTCTCATTCTGAAAGATTTGAGCACAATTGGGCCATGATCCTGATTGGGACTTCTGGTGGTAACAATAAACATTTAGTAATTACGATTATTATTATTTCTGCTAGTGATGTTCAGCTAAAGCATTTGCTAAAGTATCAGTAAATCCACCAAGGGTTTCTATGTCATTTTGATTTGACTATCTCTTTAAAGAATCAACATCTTATTCCAACAACTATTAAAAGTTTATTACAGCAAATGACACATTGCTCTAAAATATTCAAAGTATAAATTCCATTAACTCTCAGAGTTTCAAGTTGTCTTTATAAGTAGTGGATATTTCTCAATAGTAATAACAAACTCACTATTTCTCAAGGAAACTAGTGTTTATGTTCTTTTTTTTGGTTACTTACAGTGCTCTTTTATTTGCTTTGGGTTTTGGTGGACAGTAGGTACGGATATATTTTGCCAGCAGAAAGGATAGGTATCCAAGCAGTCCAAGCAGTAGCATGCTGCCAACAGAAATGAGGAACGGCACATACCAAGCTGATTCAGAATAAATATTTTCTGTTCTGATCAGAAGTGTAATGGCAGGCTTTGAAAAAAAATAAAACAGAAAAGATTCTTAAATGCTGCAAACTGAATTTTGTTGACAACTAGTGTAGAAAGTATGTTTCTGATTGTGCTCCTGTATTTTATAGTAAAACATGCATACGTGTGTTTAAAAACTTTGGATTGCCTTAGGGTATGTCTACACTGCACTCAGGAGGTGTGACTGCAGCATGTGTAGGCATATCCTAGCTAACCTTGAGGCTAGCTTGAGTAACAATATCAGTGTGGCTGCAGCAGCAGGGATGGTGGCACAGCCCCTAGCCATTTAAATATGTACCCAGAGTCCTGGGCGGGGTGGTACTCAAGAAGGTAGCCTATCTTAGACTGCTGCCTCCTCCACTGAGATTGTTACTTGAGCTAGGTTTGATCTAGCTAGATCAAAGCTAGCTCAGGTATGTTTACCCATGCTGCAATCCCATCTCCCGACTGCAGTGAAGATATACCCTTAGACAACGAGAACTTTCTACCTCACTATCTTAGTATATGGAAGTACAGGAAATGCTGCCCAGTGTTGAGGTAATAGTTTCTAGTTATCTAAGGCAAAACTGGAAAGTTTTAAAGCACTACCATTGTATGCAGTTCAATGCCAATGTAGTAGGAATACTGTTACATAAAAATAGGTGAAACCCCAAATTCTCATGTGACCTTCCTTAGCTCTAGAAAAAAGCCTAAACACAAAGTTGTGAGCTATATCGGAGGTCCCCCCAAATGAGAGGTATTCAGAAACAGAGTTTTGATTTGGCCCATTATTAAGGAGTTAACAGATCCATTGTTAAGGTTGTATTTTGAAACGGGCATAACATGGAGCATAAATTATTGTTTTTTCTCTACTGCGGAGTCCTTTCTGTGTGAAATTTTACACTATTCATTTTCATTGCCTTTGAGTTTCCTATATAGTTTTCATTCAATTTTTGATTGCTTTCTGCACTAAATTCATCAGGGTTTCTGGCTATTCCTTATTGCTGGGAGGCTAGTAGCGTGAGGGAAGCAGAATTGGGGTTGTGATAGGTGATCTGTGGTGCGTGGTAGTTTGTGGTAATAGTAAAGTGTGTGGCTGTGGGAGAAGGGGTAGAGAGTAAGTACCGGTAAGCAGTTTAACATCTGATTTCTATAGTTTGGTGGGTGTGGAAATCTTAACTCATTCACTACAGGGTATTTTTGTATATTACTAGAGATAGGAGTCAGTTAGGAAGTTTGGATCCAGGCATTTTCAAAGCAAAGCTCTTGTGATTTCAAACATTCCATGTGTGAGATTCTGGGTTTCTGATCCAGGCCTGTGTCTACTTGGCTCATCTGTGGGTTTACTAAGGGCACAGCATGTAAGATTCCACTCCCTCGTCCACCCTCTGCAACCTCCCCACATCTTGGTTCAGGTGCGCTGGGGAGAGTAGGGACTGATGCCAGCAAGCAGGGGGGCAGAGAGGGGTGAAGAATGGGGGAGACCCGTGGCTGCACACCCCTCTTTTTTAAAACACCAGCCAGTAGAGCTGACATGGCACAGGATGACAGAAGCAAACTGCATCTGGTAAAGTGCTGGCACAAATTGCCTTCCTCTGAGGGAAGTGATGGAGACAGGGAAAGAATTGTGACTCTGAACCACAGTTCTTCCTGAGGTGGCTCAGCTATGGACCATCCCATATATACAAAGGTGGATTAAGGTTTCCCTGGGCCAGAGTAAGTGAGGGGGCCCCTAGGCATCCCTTCTGTCTGCAGCCCCACCTGCAGCCCCACCCTTTTTTGCCCCTTCCCTGGGACCACACCCCTGTTCCACCCAGGGTCCCCCCCATTCCGCCAGTCCCACAACCCATTTGCTCTTTTCTGCCCTGCCCCCACGGTGGCCCCAAGATGGGAGAAGCTCTGTCCCTGTGACACAGCCCCAGGCTGCAGCAGGGAGTGAGAGCTCCCAGGAGCGCAGTAGGGGTCTGGGTGCTGGGGCTTCCCCTATCACCTCCCATGCTTCTGGGGGGGGGAACAGGGTCGGGGTGCTGGGGCTTCTCTCGCCTGGTGTTTCTGCCGGAGAGCAGGGTCAGGCACAGGTGCTCCCCCTGCCGTCCCATGACTTCTTCCAGAGATGGAATCAGGATACTGAGGGGGCTTCCCCTGTCCCTGGCTTCTGCCAGGATGGGGGTGGGGCACTGCAGGGTTTTCCCCCATCCCGCGGCTTCTGCCAGGGACAGGGTCAAGGTGTGGGGGGGTGCTGTGGGGTTTCCCCTGTCCCGCAGCTTCTACCAGGGACGCAGTCTGAGGACCTGGGGGTGGGCTTACCCTATCCTGTAGCTTCTGTCAGGGATGGGGTTGGGGATGCTGGGCGGGGCTTCCCCCGCCCCACCCGCCAGGTGGCTGAAGCCAGGGCCCCCCAGTTGGCCTGGGCCCCGTGGGCCCAGTGGCTAAACTCCCACTGCATATGTAGGGCATTGACCAAAGGCTCCATCCCACACTTAGCGTTTCTTTGCAACTTTGTGTGTTTGAAACAGAAGAAACATTGGATGAGGGTGAGTGGGATATGCGAGAGGTGTAGACAGTACCTGGGTGTAATATTTGGGTGACCCAAGTGATGGAGAAATATCCCTTCTGGCTGTTTGAAAGCTAGTTTTGTGCTACCTTTTTTCGATCTTCACACACAAAGATTAATCTGTGTATTAATTAATTTGTGTATTCCATCATTAGAGAAACATACAGATGTGTGAGTCAGCCAAAGCAGTGTATAGCTAGGAACCAAAAACCAGTCTCTGAGAAATGCGTGAAGAAAAGTTAATATCCCAGGCAAAGGTTAACTCCTGCTCTCTCCTTATCAATGCAGCTGCCAACGTCTATAACTTCTCAATTGTCTGCTCTAACAGTCTCCCCATGGTAGGCTCCAAGGCTCAGGCAGGGCCCATCTGTTTTCTCAGGCTTTCAGGGAGAGTGGGAGTTAGAGGGGATGGCATGTAGAGTATGTTGCAGAATGGGGTATTTTTAATCAATTATTTTATTATGGCTTGATATTTTGACAAGGGGATAGGCTTTGGGATGCTTTCTTGTATTGGCTATGATCTTAGGTGATGGCAGGCTACCTGGACCTTTGGGTAGGTGCCTTTTTTGTTGTAGAAAGTTAAATAAACATTATGGGTTTGTATATGGGTCCAATCCTGCAAGACACTGAGCTCCCTGTCTCCCACTGACTTCACTGTAAGCGGAAGATGCTTACCCTTGGCTAGGATTGGGCCCACAGTAATTCTTGTGTTCTTTTGAGTGCACTTACCCTCCGTTGTTTTAATTGTCCCACACAGATCCCCCATGCAACAGCCACAGAATTAAGTTGAAGATTCAGAATTTCAGTGAACTTACTGTAGTAGTGATGGTAGTAGTTGGGTTTGGGATAACTTTGATGCTTAATGTCACTGTCCCAGTTTCGATGAGGGCTGTAGCTCTGTTTGAACTTGACAGCAAATTGTCATCTGTTATATAGACGCGCAGTCTGTAGTCCCAGATTCTATCCAAACCACTGTCATAGTCAAATCTAGATGCAAGAATCAACTGAGAGATGTTGGAGCCAGCACTTGGTGAAAAAGTGAAATGATTATTCACGTTACCTAAAAGTAGAAGCAAAAAAATCCACATAAAACTAAGTTTGCGGATGACACTAAACTGGGAGGAGAGGTAGATATGCTGGAGGGTAGGGATAGGGTCCAGAGTGACCTAGACAAATTGGAGGATTGGGCCAAAAGAAATCTGATGAGGTTCAACAAGGACAAGTGCAGAGTCCTGCACTTAGGATGGAAGAATCCCATGCACCGCTACAGGCTGGGGACCAACTGGCTAAGCGGCAGTTCTGCAGAAAAGGACCTGGGGATTACAGTGGATGAGAAGCTGGATATGAGTCAACAGTGTGCCCTTGTAACCAAGAAGGCTAATGGCATATTTGGCTGCATTAGTAGGAGCACTGCCAGAAGATCGAGGGAAGTGATTATTCCCCTCTATTCGGCGCTGGGGAGGCCTCATCTGGAGTGCTGCATCCAGTTTTGGGCCCCCCATTACAGAAAGGATGTGGACAAATTGGAGAGAGTCCAGCAGAGGGCAATGAAAATGATTAGGGAGCTAGGGCACATGACTTATGAGGAGAGGCTAAGGGAACTGGGCTTATTTAGTCTGCAGAAGAGAAGAGTAGGGGGAAGGGGAGGATTTGATAGCAGCCTTCAACTACCTGAAAGGGGGTTTCCAAAGAGGATGGAGCTAGGCTGTTCTCAGTGGTGACAGATGACAGAACAAGGAGTAATGGTCTCAAGTTGCAGTGAGGGAGGTCTAGGCTGGATATTAGGAAAAACTATTTCACTAGGAGAGTGGTGAAGCACTGGAATTGGTTGCCTACGGAGGTGGTGGAATCTCCATCCTTAGAGGTTTTTAAGGCCCAGCTTGACAATGGGATGAGTTAGATGGGGTTGGTCCTGTACTGAGTAGGGTGTTGGACTAGATGACTTCCTGAGGTGGCTTTAAGACATCTTTTTGTGCCCTCCCAATCCTGGGCTGTTCTGGGTCACCGGCTTAATTTAGGGCTTGTCTACACTTAAAACATTACAACAGCATAACTGCACCACTGTAGCACTTCAGCGTAGACACTACCTACGCTGATGGGAGGGATTCTTCCATCAGCATAGCTAATCCACTTCCCCGAGAGGTGGAATTCTTCCACTGGCTTAGCGCTGTCTACATAGGGACATAGGTTGTCTTAACTACGCCACTCAGGTTTGTGGATTTTTCACACTCCTGAGTGACGTAGTTCTGCTGATCTCATTTTCTAGTGTAGCCCAGGCCTTAAGCAGCATCCCTATGGCTGCACTATGGGTCTCAGCACTGCCTTGAATCTGTGGAGACCCACCAATTGACATGCCTCTTTCGCTCCCAGCTTCATCCCCTGCATGTCCCCTATACAAGGCTTTGTCCTCGGAAGATAGCCTTACCATTCTTTCCTCAGAGCCTGCACCAGGAGACCCCTCCCATGGCCAGGACCAGGGCTTTTAGAGCCCCTTTATGCTACTCTGAGCCTTTTATGTTGTATAAAGGGACTGGAGTGGGGGTGAGGCTCTCACCCTCTCTGCTTAAGATATTTGTCTGCATCACCTGTTTAATCATTACCCCATTCTCAGCTACTGCCTCAAAAGCAGAAGTTTTTCCTAAGTTCAAATAGCTCCCTTTTTGTGAAATGAGGCAACACCAAATGTCTCAGCACCTGGCTTATAATTGATTTTTGTGTCCAAGCACACGTTCTTACAAAGGGATTTTAATGAGTACAGCATGGAGTTAGGACACAAGTTTTGTCGAGCAGTTTGGAGCAGTGCCCCAAATTCCACTCTGTTACACTGATAGAAATCTGAAATCCTGGAACTTCATTAAGTCCACTGGGGTTTTTCCAGTGTACCTGTTATAATTGAAAGTACAACTTGTCCCTGTGTACAAGAGGAGTAGCAGTCTGGCTGGCTCCAGTGAGTCAATGTGAGTTTTGCCATTAATTTAAATGGAAGCTCTCACTAGCTAATCTTTAAGTTATTTCTAAAGTGCCTGTCTATCACCATCTTATTAAACCCTAGCCAATATCAGCATTAGCATGTAACATGTACTAGACTTTTTTGTTCACAAAATCAAATGGACTGTCTATATCCAAGCATTTTCCCCATGCACCAGGCATGTAACAATGACATTCAAGAGTCAAAAAAGTGCAGTACCTGAATTAATGAAGTACCGGAAAGATCTGGGACTAGAATCGCGATCAACACACTCTATCCTGATACCCTCAATGTTGGTCCCAACAGCTAGGTCTACCGGGATTGCCAATGAATAGGTATTGGCTGAACAAACTGGTTTTTCATCATTTACTTCAAGAACATTGATGGTTACCTGAAAGAGAGCCAGCTGATCAGGTGAGATTCTTCCAGTATGCTGTGCCAGAATATTACCAGCTCTAGTAGCTGGTAGGATTTGTTCTTCATTCTTTTTATTGACAGTAGTTAAACAAGAGTGGCAGGGAAGGTCCATTAATTTAGTTTTTGCCTTGGACATGTTAAAGTTCAAGAGATTATGAACTCATGTTGTGACCGATGTTTCTTTAGAACTCAGATTCATTAAGGCAATTATGTTCTAACATTGAACTTTCTTTTATGTGGGACTTCTGATTTTTTTGAATTGCCTAAAGTATGTCATAGTCAGAATGGAAAATAATACTTTACACTTATTAGATCTAGCCAGTCAAGGTTCTCAAAGTGCTTCACAAATGTTAATTAAGCTTCCTGACATTTAATAATAATTCAGCGACTGAGGTTTTAAGGCCTGGTTTGACAAAGCCCTGGCTGGGATGATTTAGTTGGGGTTGGTCCTGCTTTGAGCAGGGGGTTGGACTAGATCAGTGGTTCTCAAAGCTGGTCCACCGCTTGTTCAGGGAAAGCCCCTGGCAGGCCGGACCGATTTGTTTACCTGCCGCGTCTGCAGGTTCGGCCGATCGTGGCTCCCACTGGCCGCTCCTGGTTCGCTCCAGGCCAATGGGGGCTGCGGGAAGCAGCACGGCCCAAGGGACGTGCTGGCCCTCCCTTCCTGAGGTCTCTTCCAACCCTAATCTTCTATGATCCTATGACTGTTCTATGCATGAAGGGAGCCCTTCTCATGTAGATCTACCCTTCCCCATGTGGAGATGAGGGGCAGTGAGAAAGTAAACATTCTCCCCCCAACACTCCTTGTTCCTTCACCAAGCAGTTATTGGCTGGAATGGAAAATTGGGTCTAAATTCTTGGAGATAATACAATTTTTTTGAATAGCAAAATCAAATGTAATGCAAAAATGGGGTAAAGAGAGATGTTAACCACTGAAGGAAAGAGTTTATATGCACAGAAGTTTGGTGTTCTCTGAAACATATAAGGAGTGAATGTAAGTTTATGTATACACTTAAAGCAGTGTGTACAGTACACAGGGCCATCCTTAGGCATACACAAAATACGCAGCTGCGTAAGGCACCTGAAAATTTGGGGCACCACTGGGTCTTTGTGTCCACCCCCCTGGCTTTCCTATCCCTGTTCTGACTCTTTCTGCAGGCTCCCACAGCTGGCTGCTGCAGCCTGGTGAGTCTTCCTCGGGAGGGGATCTAGTATTTAAAAGGTTTCAGAGTAACAGCCGTGTTAGTCTGTATTCGCAAAAAGAAAACGAGTACTTGTGGCACCTTAGAGACTAACCAATTTATTTGAGCATAAGCTTTCATGAGCTACAGCTCACTTCATCGGATGCATACTGTGGAAAGTATAGAAGATCTTTTTATACACACAAAGCATGAAAAAATGGGTGTTTACCACGACAAAAGGTTTTCTCTCCCCCCACCCCACTCTCCTGCTGGTAATAGCTTATCTAAAGTGATCACTCTCCTTACAATGTGTATGATAATCAAGGTGGGCCATTTCCAGCACAAATTCAGGGTTTAAACAAGAACGTCGGGGGGGGGGGACATGAGGGGAAATAGGCTTGAATAGAGACTGGGAGTGGCTAAGTCATTATGCAAGGTAACCTAAGTTAATTGTATCCAATTTGCAAATGAATTCCAATTCAACAGTCTCTCCCTGGAGTCTGGTTTTGAAGTTTTTTTGTTTGTAATATCGCAACTTTCATGTCTGTAATCGCGTGACCAGAGAGATTGAAGTGTTCTCTGACTGGTTTCTGAATGTTATAATTCTTGACATCTGATTTGTGTCCATTTATTCTTTTACGTAGAGACTGTCCAGTTTGACCAATGTACATGGCAGAGGGGCATTGCTGGCACATGATGGCATATATCACATTGGTGGATGTGCAGGTGAACGAGCCTCTGATAGTGTGGCTGATGTTATTAGGCCCTGTGATGGTGTCCCCTGAATAGATATGTGGGCACAGTTGGCAACGGGCTTTGTTGCAAGGATAGGTTCCTGGGTTAGTGGTTCTGTTGTGTGGTATGTGGTTGCTGGTGAGTATTTGTTTCAGGCTGGGGGGCTGTCTGTAAGCAAGGACTGGCCTGTCTCCCAAGATTTGTGAGAGTGTTGGGTCATCCTTCAGGATAGGTTGTAGATCCTTAATAATGCGTTGGAGCAGTTTTAGTTGGGGGCTGAAGGTGACGGCTAGTGGCGTTCTGTTATTTTCTTTGTTGGGCCTGTCCTGTAGTAGGTGACTTCTGGGTACTCTTCTGGCTCTATCAATCTGGGGTGGGGTGGGGTGGGGGGAGAGAAAACCTTTTGTAGTGGTAAACACCCATTTTTTCATGCTTTGTGTGTATAAAAAGATCTTCTATACTTTCCACAGTATGCATCTGATGAAGTGAGCTGTAGCTCACGAAAGCTTATGCTCAAATAAATTGGTTAGTCTCTAAGGTGCCACAAGTACTCCTTTCACTTTTAGTATTTAAAAGTGAAAAAGCCTCCAGCCTGCCAGACCTATTAGCACAACGCTGAAACTGTTAAAGAGCCATTCAAAGGGTAATGAAGTCATTTAACAGGCATTTGCCAAACCCCAGGTATATACTGCCAGTTTCTGAATTTACTGACAAAAAACAGTTGTGCATTGCTGTAATATTTAGTCAGAACATGTCAGTCTACAGGACCTTAGTTTAAAATTTGCTTTAAAATATTTCATTAGTGAGTTAGTGAAGATTATAAAATCACATCTCTAAAAAATCCTTGCATAGATTTTTAGATGCACAATCATCTTTAGCCTTAAACACTTGGCTCTTCAGACATATAGTTTTTTAAATAAATCCTTCAAAAGACCACCCTTATCTAAAATACACATTTTAATTACTAAAGTAAAAAAAAAACTTGCTTGGAAAGTCTCTGTCCTTCCCTTTCTCCCTTCACACCTGCCCCCTCCAATTGAAGAGAGCCCTTAAAGGCAGAACACCCCTTTCCTTCCAGATAGGGAAACTCTTTGTCCAGTTTTCTTTACTTCTGACTATCTAATGAACTAGTTTTAAGAGAACCCTCCAACAAAACCTTAGTAAGATATAAAATCCTTTGTTATGCCTAAAATCTTTGGAAACTTTAAAAAAAAAAGTTGGTGAAATTTCATAAACATTGTCTATTGTTATGGAGATCACACAAAGTAAATTAGTGTTCCCTTTTTCTAAAAGCAATGAACATTGTTATGAACACCCTAAACCTTTGTGACTGATTAATTTAAAATAATGTCTTTGTTTCAGTGAGTTAAATATGTAGTAATCTAGAACGATTACTTTACGAAGGCTTAAGAGTACATTTAAAATATAAAATCAGCTTAGAAATACTGATTAAGAAAATGTAAAACGCAGAAGAGCTGCATCATGTATTTCGTAATAATGTTGTATTCAGCAAGACAGCTGACTCACCCTTACTACAAAGTTTTTGCAAATAAATGTCTGACAAACTTCAGGGCCTATCAAAAAACCTGTGACTGACATTTTTTATTCCCAAATTTAGCGCTTTTAATTAGGTACCTTCTGCATGTCCATCCTGCGTGAGGGAGAGGGTACGGGGGTCTCTGTGGGGAACTGTGATTCTCCGCCACCGTGAGGCAGGCCGGGCGTCTTGTTATCCTTTGCTGTCTCGTCCCGCCCCCACCTCCCACTGCCGGGCTGCAAGCTCAGGCTGCCATTGGGCATAGGGGCACCAGTTTAATAATACTATGTAGGGCCCCATAAATCCTAAGAAGAAAAGGAGGACTTGTGGCATCTTAGAGACTAATAAATTTATTTGAGCATAAGCTTTCATGAGCTACAGTTCACTTCATTGGATGCATGTAGTGAAGTGGGCTGTAGCTCACGAAAGCTTATGCTCAAATAAATTTATTAGTCTCTAAGGTGCCACAAGTCCTCCTTTTCTTTTTACGGATACAGACTAACATGGCTGCTACTCTGAAATAAATCCTAAGGACGGCCCTGACAATACAGGTATTACACATGAAGGTATACGCCACAGTGACAGGCAGGCTGCATCCATACTTGTCACTGTGCTGTGTAGCCACATGTGGCAGTGAAAGGCTCCAGCAGTGAGGAAAGGCTCCAGCAGCTCCCCACTGCCAGAGTTTTTCACTGCATCCAGGAATGGCTCTGGAAGGTGGGAGACAGCAGAGAGAGGCGCTGGCAGCAGGAAACTGCTGGAGCCTTTCCCCACTGCTGCAGCCTTTCACTGTGGTGGGGAAAGGCTCCTGCAGCGGGGAGACAACAGGACACTATGCTGCTAAAAATAGCAGTGTAGACATGGGAGGCTTTGCTTGGCCATGTAGGGTGTATAGCCTAGATATCAGGAGTGCTGGGCACTCTACTCCCCTCACTTAAGCTGTGCCTCACTGTCTACACAGCTATTTATACCCGTGCTAGCTGGGTGTGCAGTATCTGTTCTCAACGTGCTGCTGTAAGTGTAGGCATGCACTTTACGGCCTTTGTGGATACACAGAAAGCTCTCTCGCTGCCCACCAAAAATATCAAGGATGAATAACAGGCAGATAAAAGAAAGTGTTTAAAGGAAAAAACAACAAATAAAAATGTTTTTTGTTTTGTTTTTGTTTTTTAATGCCAGGACTCCCTACTCACTCCCATTGTATCCTCCCTTTGTGTGAAATTCAGCTCTGTGTAGAGAGCCGGCCCACAGCCTTAATATCACTTCAGTGGGAGTCGAGTGGTGCATAGGTCTTGGGATGACCGTGGACATAGGCTAAGTTTTGCCTCAGGTGGGGGTGACATTTGCAAAAGTAGTATAGTTTTACTCACGGACACTGTAGCAAGCTTCTCTGCGTCAGAAGCTTGCACTGTGAGAATGTACTTCTGTGTTGTTTCATAGTCTAGTGTAGCTATAATCTCCAGATTTCCTTCATTTGGGTCGATCCAAAATATATTTGTGTAAGAAAGGGTACCTCCTCCAGCTACAATGGAATATGTGATTCCAGTAAACGGTAAATCCTTGTCTGTTGCACTCACTTTTCCAATGCTGGATCCAGCTGAAAAGAAGAGTCATGTTATCTTAACGTTTACAAAAATTACATACAAAATGAAATGTACAGACTATAAGGCTCCTCCTAAGTGAGTTTCTTAGTTCAAATGATGTAGGCAGATTTTATTGTAACTCTAATTTAGGACTTGTCTACACAAGTAGTTATTCCAGAATAGTCATTCCAGATTAACTCCTGGTGTGGATGTTGTTGTTCCAGAATAATAGTCCCTTATTCCAAATTAGCTTAATCCATTTCCAAAGGTATTCTTATTCTGGTATGAGTGTGTCCACACCAGGACTTAATCAGGAATAGATGCTGTGCTTGAAGTTCATACACTACCTTAATCTGAATTAACTTCTCAGTATAAACAAGCCCTCAATATTTGTTTTTTCTTTTTTTTTTTAAACCAACCCCTGCTCCCCCCCCCCCCAAAAAAAAAAAAGAGGAGGGGGAAGAAATCCAAAAGTTTCCCATATTTTGGCTGTCAGTTTCCCCATATATATGATTTTTCATATGTGATGCTAGAGCGACTTCTGTGTAGGAGTTAATTTCACCCTAAATGCATATTTAAATAACCAGCTTCTTCTGAACTATAGGCTAAATGCCCAAAGTGAAGCAGGGAGGGGAGGTTGAGGAGCTGTTGTCACTGAGGCCATTAGCATTTCATTTATTTCTCCTCCTGGCTCTGTGAATTCCAGCCCTGCTGCAGATTGCTAGCTCCTAGTTGGTGTGACAGCCAGCATGCTTTCTGCCAGCACTACCCCATCCCCAGAATCCTGTTAGAGCCCACATCTGTATTTTCTCCAAAAATGTGTGCTGTTTTGCAAAGGGTTTTTAAAGCAACAGTATTTAAAGGTTTACATTAACACTTGTTTAACTCCTATAAGCATTCTGCAGAATCCAGCAAAACTCTGGGATGGACACAGAGGTTTATAGTCACACATGTGTTTCAGAGATTTATTTAAATGATTACATTACAAAGGTCTGAATCACACAAGTGGGAGGAGGAAAACACATGCAAGACAGGAAACTCCATGAGGTTCCCCATATTGTGCATACAGAGAGGCAGTGTATGATGCCTAGCCTCACCCCTACACTATGGAACTAACAGATCTCTCAAAACCAAAGCATTCCTGATAGCTGCATGAATCTAGGGGAAACAGCTGAAGATCAGGGCCCTGGCCCTCTACATGGGGACCTATGCCTCCACGCTATGTCTCTGCTCTCCTTGATTCCCATCAGCAACTTGACATTTTAGCTCCTGCAGAAGCCATACTGACAGGGAATACTAGCCTGCCAAGCCACCAGAAAGTCCTCCTCTTCTGAGGAGACAGGAATTGAATCCACATCTCCTGAGTCCCAGTCCAGTGCCTTACCATTACACCATCCTTTGTTCTGCTGTTTTGCTTGAAAAGCATCGCTGAGCTCAAACAGGTTCTTTCAAACCACACAAAGCCTGTAGAGTTTCAGAAGCAGCCTCAACACGTTCCCCCCTGAACGCAGGCCAGGATTTGGTAGGTATTGCAGGCCCAGTCATATCTTGCAATTTTGCTGTAGGCCTGCCATACCTCTTTCAAGTGATGGTTCTGTGCATTGTCTTTTGTCTACCTACAGTTGTGGCCATCTTCAGATGATATGACCCCCTCTCTGGCTGGGAAGAGGTTAATGACAGCCTGTGAGCTCAGTCAGCCCCACCCATTAAAACCTGCCAGAGGTGTCAAGCTTGAAGGGAGGAGTCAAAGAGGAAAAGCCCAGCTCAGTAGTGGCTGACCAGGAGAAGGAATGGATCTCTTGTGCTAGGCCCTTAAAGGAAGGCCTGGTTGAGACCAGAGGAAACCTAGAAGCTGCCTGGAGGAAGCCTGGGCTGGTACCCAGGGCCTATCCAGAGCCTCCTAGATACCAGAGTCTCCCAGGGTAGATAGGGACCTTTCAATTTGCTTTGTTCCTTGTAACTGATCTGAGTCACAAGAAGTAGACCAGGCCTTCCTTGAGAGGTCCACATCTCCTTCAGAGCTCTTTCCTCTTTTAACTCCTCCCTCCCGGCTTGGCAACTCTCACAGATGTAACAGCACAGCGCTGACAGAGCCCATAGACTCTCATCAACTCCTTCCCAGCCTGGAGCAGCTGTCAGTAGGGGATACCAGAAGAGAAGACCCTGCTGCACAAGCTCAGCTAGGAGGGGGTACGCTGGTGGTGAGCTACCGTTCTGCTTTACTGTATTTATTTAGCTGATGGGTAATGTGTGTCTCAATGCTGTTAGAAAAAATATCAGGTTTCACAGTCCCAATATGTGGGTCATTTTTAAAAATTCAATATGGTGGTGGGGAGGGAGGGAACCACTACAGTGCGTGGTAGAAGAGTGGATTTTAATAAAGACTATCGCTTCTGTTTTGGGGGTGAGTTTTCACTTTTACGTTTTTGCTGCCTCCAATTTAAGCTTTGTTTAATGACATGTTATAATAGAAAAGTTCCACAGCCAGTGCAAATTGGCTAATGAAACTGTGCTGTGTGAACTAGAAAAAACCTGGCCCTTTAAACCCAGTGAAAATGCCTGCAAAAGACTGTAACTTCCATCTTTTACCCCCTCCTTCCAAAAAATCCCCCAAATTCCTGATGGAATTCTGTCTGTTCCTCTCAATTACCGTACACTCCAAGTAAAAAGATTTTAAAAGCTTGAGTTAAATGCAGCTGCAGGTAAGGGACATTGTAAACACACAGGGGGCAGGCACCCTACACAGAGGAAGAAAACACTGCTAACGCTGCAAAGAAGTTGCTTAGGAATAACTGCAGAACAAAAGGTGGTGTTAGAGCAGAGAGCAAGCTGGAAGGTCTGGGGAGCTGGGAGAAGTGGAAAAGGCAGCGGGCAGCCACAGGGGAGGCTGAGGCAGGCCATGTAAAAGATGTGCAAAAACTTCTCAGACAGCATGAGTGGAAAAACTCATGCTTGAAAGGTTTTTGCCAAATTGTTTAACCTGCAGATTTTTTCTATTGCAAAAGTAGGTTCCTCACAACAAATGCGTTTTCCCCCACCCCCAAGCGAGTGCAAGTCTAACTCTGTTTCCTTGTATATACCACTCTACTAGGCAGGAGTGGATAGTCTTATGCTTAAAGTATTGCCCTGGGATTCAGGGGCATGGTGACACACCCACTACAACAGAGGCTTCAAGGGGTCCTCAGAAGGCAGCTTTATGGCTGTTATTCACAGTGCCAGAGACAAGGGAATCATCCCTTAGCTGAACCTAGGCTTTTTGGATCCATTTATGCTCTTTTACATAGTGTAAAGTGGCCAGAGTGGGAGTGAGGATCTTGCCCAAGAGAGGTGTATTCAGTTCTTGGTTCTACCACAGAATTGCTATGTAACCTTTGGCAAGTCACTTAATCTTTCTCCCCGATTTGTTAAAGGGGATATAAAAATACTTCCTTTCTCCCACCCTTTGCCTGTTTTGTCTATTTACAATGTAAACCCTGTACTTTGAGGTTGTGCAGTGGGGTCCTGATCTTGGCTGGGGCTTTGAGGCACTATTGTAATACAAACTAATATATTTTTGCTCCAAGATGATTATTTTACACTGTAACAACCTTACACCTGTAGGACAGCCTTTACTTACTGTACCTCGGGTAATTTCTGAAACATTGAATACATATGATGGGTTATTGAAGCCTGGGAAGAATTCATTCACTGGAATTATTTTGATGTAAATGTAGATATTATCTGGAAACACAATGGAAGATTAACTAATGGTTAAGTATGGCTATGAAAACATCTGTTGAACATAAACATATTTTGAATAACATTCCTTCTTCTATGCAGTAACAGCATAGGAAAAAAATCTCAAAGAAGAATAAAAGGGATACTTGCTAGTATAGTAAGGCTGGGCAATATCTTGCACCACAGCTGTCAAAGTATATTCCTCAACTGCTAGATTATCTGGATTTTCGAAATCCAGACCTCCAATCAACTAGATTAAAAAAAGGAAACTGTATTTATGCCTTGTTACATAAAGTCACAGCACACACCAAGCAAATGATGATTTCCAGTGTTCTGTCCATGTGCTGGCTAAGTACATATATCACCGCCCTCTTTGAATTATACAAGCAATTAATAAATTACAGGACTGAATACACTCTCTGGTGGCTAGCTGTAATTCCTAACTTCACTACAGCCAAGAAGATTCATTCTCCTTTAGCTAAAGTTGTAGGTGGCCTGTGTTATATGTAGCTGAAAGTCTTGATCATTTTATCTTTTGAGTTCAAAGTGTGTGTAACCTGCTGGCTAAGTGTAACAAGTCCCTTATCTCATGGTTGGTCCATAAAGAGGAAAAAAGCCTACTACTACTACCACCACCACCACTTAACAATGTTGATCCCTTCGATCAGAGGTTCTGAACCAGGGGCCTGGGTCCTCCTGGGGGGGACCATGAGCAAGTTTCAGGGGGTCCTCCAAAATAAACCAGAGAGTAAGGCTGGCATTAGGCTCCCTGGGACCCAGAGCAGAAAGCCAAAGCCCAAGCCCCACCGTGCAGGGCTGAAGTCAAAGCCCAAGCAATTTAGCTTTGCAGGACCCCAGGCAATTGCCCTGCTTGCTACCCCCTAATGCCGGCCCTGGTTTTTAATCTACTGGATATGCTGAAAAACAGTTGCTGTGGCATAGGTTGGCCATGGAGTTTATATAGCATGTTGGAGGAGCCTCAGAAAGAAAAAGGGTGAGAACCCCTGCTTTAGATCATGGGGTGTAGGCCTATGCTTAAGGTCTCAGGTTCAGTCACTGATGATAATCCCTGAGGAGAGTTGTTACAAAGTGGTTGCCCAAATGGGGAATTAAAACCCAGTCTCTTGCATTGTGCCATCCTTTGTAGCACCCATACTGGGGTTGTCAGCACTAAAGCTCAAGTCTCTACCATTTGAGTTAAAATAGTAACTCCTTCAGCCGGTAGCAGTAGTAGGCTCTTATCCTCTATGAAATAGCCAATGGAGGGGAAATGGCACAGTTAGCCAGCATGTTACATTATACAGCCAGGGTGAGCAGAGGAGATTAGGACCATAAATTCCTGTGTTGTCATGCAAATGTTTCTTAGCCTTGTAGATGAGGAAGTAGTTTGCTGTACATCAACATCCATCATGCTTCTGCAATGTTCTCCTCTTTTGAATGGTATATCTAGGTGTTTGCTGGTTTGTGTATCTGCACAGTTTTTATCCACAAAACAACCAACATTACACATGCCAAGCAATGGGATAGAGTTCTTGTAACTGCAGATCTGACTGATATCAGCACAAGGAATCCATTGTTCTGTCATGTGAAATAAACAAGTGCAAATCCCAACGTGCATTTGTATGAACTGACCACCTTCACAGGTTTCAGAGTAGCAGCCGTGTTAGTCTGTATCCGCAAAAAGAAAAGGAGGACTTGTGGCACCTTAGAGACTAACAAAGGTATTTGAGCATAAGCTTTCGTGAGCTACAGCTCACTTCATCGGATGCATGCAGTGGAAAATACAGTGGGGAGATTTTATATACACAGAGAACGTGAAACAGTGGGTGTTACCATACACACTGTAACAAGAGTGATCAGGTAGCTCTACAATTCTTATCAGTGGAGTCAAGAGGCGGTTTTGAGTTTGAGATTTCTATGGTATGTCAATCTTTCTTCTGAATAGCCAAGATCTCATATAGTATTTTACAAACACTTGTGTGAATTGGGATTAGTCTGGCACTGTTTAAATTGCTGAGACCTGCCCCTGGTTGCTCGTGTTATACTTCCATATCAATGTTAAACAATCAATGTCAATATAGTGCTTTGAAACTCATTCCTATGTGCCCCCACACTGCTTAGAAAGGAGATTTCAAACAAGTCTATGGCTTTGTTTATTTTTCCCCAGTTTTAACCATTCTTTCAGATTTTAGAATAAAGAGCAATTGTGCATCATGATCTCTAGACTCCATAAAGAACATTCTCTCTCTCACACACACACACGCACACACAATCATGCGTGCATTTCATCAACAGTTTCAATAGACTTCACCCTAGCCCAATGTGAATAACAATTTTTCCTGAAAGGATAATGAATGTAGAGTATTAGAAGACACCTTAATTAGATTTAAGAAACTGCCATCTTAATTGAGACTTCCTAAAACAAAACAATTAACTAACCACAATTTTTCCAGAGCCAGATGGATTCAGTGTAAATTTGTTACTTCCAAGTCCGGACAGTCCAGTGAAGTTAAATTCATTATTTGGTGGTTCAACATCTATATCCTGGCAGTGATCTCGTAGGTCAAGGAAGAGTGTCCCAGTGGTGGCTGTTTCAGATACCTCAAGTCTGTCAAAAAGAAATGTTTCCCATCATGCCTCTTTACAACATTCCTCTGAACAGCTTTTGAAGTGTACTGCATATTGACTTCCACATACTTTTCAAACCAAAATCCCAGATTCCAACACCCCAAACTTTAGGAGCAGAACTGGAATCTGATCTGTATTTTGTGGCTAACCCCTTTCTCTCTCTAATGGGCTGAACCAAAACCCTTAGACAGAACCCAAACCAAATGCTCAGAACACCCCTTAACTTTGGAACCAGCATCAGGATCTCAGTTTAATCCACCTCTAATTTCAAATGAGTATCTTTTAAAAATCTGCATTTCAGTACTCTATCTACATGCTGAGACATGCTACTTCATTTGCCCCTTAATTGATACTTGGCCTGGGTTTTTCTTCACTGAACAAAATACTTAAGTATATGCTTAATTTTACTCATGTGAGTAGTCCCATTGAAGTTGGTGTGGGACCAAAATCAATTAGACTACTTGCATGTTTAAAGTATATGTTTTTGTGCTTTGTTGTATCAGGGCCTATGAAGGCATAAGGTTACTTTCAAACACTGAAATTAGTTTTTATTCTTTATCTTTGAACAGCGTGTGATATATTTCCAACTAAACTACTTACAATAACCCATGATCTGTCAGCTGAATCTGATATACCTCAATCAAAGCAATTCTCATTCATCACATCAGATTTGCAGAACTGAAGAGTTATTTCCTCCATGAATGGAATAGTAGACAAACAAAGTTGGAATGAGTTCCAGATGTTCTGTTCTAATGGTTGTCATCTTGACAATTCCATCTTCTATTGATGAAAGGCTCTGATACCCATATTATAATGCAATGTCAAGAACCCGATCCAGAATTATTTTGCAGCTTTCTGCGGTTCTATTTCCCACAGTATCTCCTCCATCTCCCTACTTCCTTGTTGCTTGCAGGGATGGGATGGAATCATGACCACTCCAGTCATTTCACTCAATACTCCTTGAGCAGCCTTGTATATGTCAGGCAAGTTGGGAATAGCTTGTGCTTTGTCTGAGACATAGACTCCTGGGGATTTATTTACAGGATGTGGGGTTCTATCCTGAGAAGCAGGGACCTTGAAAAAAGACTTTGGGGTTATGGCAGATAATAACTGAACATGAGCTCCCAGTGTAATGCTATGGCTAAAAGAGTTAATGTGATCCTTGGATGCACAAATAGGGGAATCTTGACAAGGAATAGGATGAACCTCCGTATTTGGCACTGCTTTGACCACTACTGAACATGGTGTCCAGTTCTGGTGTCCACAATTCAAGAAGGATGTTGATAAATTGGGGAGGGTGCAGAGTAAAGACATGTGAATGACAAAAGGATTAGAAAACATTACAGTGATAAATGCTAGGAGCTCAATCTATTTAGGGTAACAAAGAGAAGGTTAAGGATGACTTGATGGCGTGGTAAGTACATACTTACATGGGGAACAAATATTTGACAATAGGTTCTTCAATGCAATGGCTGGAAGTTGAAGTTAGACAAATTCAGACTGAAAATAAGGTATAATTTTTTAACAGTCAAAGTAATTAACCATTGGAGTAGTTTACCAAGGGTCATGGTGGATTCTTCATCACTGACAATTTTAAAATCAAGACTGGATGTTTTTCTAAAGGACCTGCTCTAGTTCAAACAGGAATTATTTCAAGGAAGTTCTATGGCCCGTGTTATGTAGGAGGTTGGACTAGATGATCAAATGAGTCCCTTCTGGCCTTAGAATCAATGAAAAATATCCCAAAGAGCTACAGGTTAAGGATCATGATGCTTAAAAACACAGGAGAAGGAGATTCTTCATTACTACAGGCTTTCTTCCTAATTGGGTGCTTTGTGCCATCCTTGGAACCTAAAGTAAATTGTTCAGATCAATTTAATAATTTCTCAATTTAGAGAGAAACACTTTCCTGTCACTAAACTAATTTTGCTGGGCTGATTTCCCATCTCACTTAATGCTATTCTGTTTTTTTCAATATGCTTTAATTAGAGAGCTCTTCTCTCATTTCCTGAAGAATGAATAAATATCTAGGAGTTCAATCTAATCAGAAGTGACTGGTTTAAAGTGAGTTTCTTGCCTATCACTCTGATTCTGGGGTTTTTTTGTTTTGTTTTGTTTTTATTAAAACTGTATTGCAGTTTTTTAAAAACAAAGTGCTTAGGGCTCAACTCTGCTCTCAGTTACACCAATTTAATTCAAGGGTGACACCTCTGAAGTCAATTGAGTTAGACTGATATAAAACTGGACATGAGATCAGAACCAGGCCCTGGGATCCAACTCTGTAGTTCTTGTTCAATCACAGATCCCATTGACCCTCTCTGGAGTTTCACAAATAGATGGGTTACAGGACTGAGTCTTTTAAATGTGAATTGAAAAGATTTAACAAAAAATACATCCAATGAGCCTTACAACTGGAGCTGTGTGAATAACTGACTTTTCGGTTTCCTGGTAGTTCTGAAAAATTGTGGAATAAAATGCAGTTTGTATCAAACTGAAAAATTTCAGCAACTCAAAAATTTTAAGGAGTACTTGTGGCACCTTAGAGACTAACCAATTTATTTGAGCATGAGCTTTCGTGAACTACAGCTCACTTCATCGGATACATACCGTGGAAACTGCAGCAGACTTTATATATACACAGAGAATATGAAACAATACCTCCTCCCACCCCACTGTCCTGCTGGTAATAGCTTATCTAAAGTGATCATCAGGTTGGGCCATTTCCAGCACAAATCCAGGTTTTCTCACCCTCCACCCCCCCACACAAATTCACTCTCCTGCTGGTGATAGCCCATCCAAAGTGACAACTCTTTACACAATGTGCATGAGAGTGAATTTGTGTGGGGGGGGTGGAGGGTGAGAAAACCTGGATTTGTGCTGGAAATGGCCCAACCTGATGATCACTTTAGATAAGCTATTACCAGCAGGACAGTGGGGTGGGAGGAGGTATTGTTTCATATTCTCTGTGTATATATAAAGTCTGCTGCAGTTTCCACGGTATGTATCCGATGAAGTGAGCTGTAGTTCACGAAAGCTCATGCTCAAATAAATTGGTTAGTCTCTAAGGTGCCACAAGTACTCCTTTTCTTTTTGCGAATACAGACTAACACGGCTGTTACTCTGAAACCTGTCAAAAATTTTAGTGGCTGGGGGGGGCGGTTGGTCCCATATCTCAATGAGTACCCTAATCACTGGGCTAAAGATTAAAAGGGAGCTTCCTCCTCCTACAGCAGTTTTGTGAATGGTGCCAAAGCCTTCTTGTCAATCCTGTTCTCCCCCTCCCTCCATTCTTTGTTTATTAAAACTGGAAAACTCCTGTCCAATTCGTGAATAGTTTCATGTTGACTAAAGTTGCATGGGAGGGGGGCAAATAAACAGTGTGAAAAATTTCTCCCAGCTCTATTGACAACAGCACAAAGATAGAATAACACCATGATCAGCCCCATGAACTGTGAAAGATTCTAAATCCTTCATGTCACAATCCCACCTATCCCCCCTTACCACACACATACAGTATGAATGATACTCGTCCAGCAGAAAATAGCAGGACTGATGGTAATTGATAGTGCTTGCAACTGCACACCAACTATGTATAATGGCAGAGTGGTCTATGCCCTGAAGAGTTTGCAGGCCAGGAACATGAAGATAGCAGACAAAGGAAGGGAGTTGGGAAAGGAGAGAGCAAAGGTTAAAATTAATAACAGCCAGAACAGTCTGAAAGTCAACCGCTTAGAATGATCCCATTTAATAAATTAGCATGAAATGAGAGAGGTGAAAAGTCTGCCCCTGTTCTGGACAGAAATGATGCTACTTTTAATTATATACAGTCTATGGCCCCTCGATGCTGTGGTGATTGGCAGCTGAATGAGAGAGAGAGATAAATAAACGCCTGATTTGGCACAGATGTTTTGGGCCCAATTTTCAAATCTGAGCCAACAGGATGTTTGAGCCCTGCATCTTAGCACACACAGTCAGCACTTACCAGTAGGAGCCGATAGGGAGTGCCCATTTGAACACACATATGCAGGATCTAGGTGCCTAACTAGGGTGCCCTACACCACATACTGGCCCCGTCATATTGGTGAGAGACACTGTGAGTGGCTTAGTACCTGAAGTTGTACAAGCTACATTCTGGTGGGTTGTCATTAAGATCCTCAATAATGACGGTTATCTCTGTTTCATTCGTTTGCCCACCACTGGGACTGTCCTCCACACGAATGACCAACGAGATGTTAGGATGTAGACGCAGGGGAGCAGCATCTCGATCTATTCGCATAGCCACGTAAATCACACCAGTGACTAAGAGGAAAAGAATGGACAGGTTAGATAACTACTGGAAAGGAAATGACAAGAATTCTTATTTAAATGTATTGTTGTCCTTAAGGACTTGATGACTCAGGGAACTGGTGATAAATATACAGCCTTCCCTACCTCCACGTCACAGCTGTTTGTTTAGTGATCTGAAATAAACTGATGCATTTTATCTAACCCTTAGCAGATAAGTGTCCACAGCACAAAAATACCATGATGGCTGACAGCCTCAGCAGAGAAGCCAATAACTGACCAGGCATGGAGACTGGCCTACCCTCTCACCCCTAGTAGGGGTCTTTGTAAGTCAGGGGTGAGATACATTGGCAGAGTAGTGTTGGGAAGTGTGCACTGCTAATGTTCATGCTGTCCCTGCTCTGTGGCTAAAGACAGAACTTCATTTTCTAGTGCTCTCAAGGCAGCTCTAGATCTACGTATAAATAAGAACCATTCTCAGCTATGATGTAGTGAACATAAGAATGGCCATACTGGGTCAGACCAAAGGTCCATCCAGCCCTGTATCCTGTCTGCCAACAGTGGCCAATGCCAGGTGCCCCAGAGGGAGTGAGCCTAACAGGTAATGATCAAGTGATCTCTCTCCTGCCATCCATCTCCCTCTGACAAACAGAGGCTAGGGACACCATTCCTTACCCATCCTGGCTAATAGCCATTAATGGACTTAACCTCCATGAATTTATCTAGTTCTCTTTTAAACCCTATTATAGTCCTAGCCTTCACAATCTCCTCAGGCAAGGAGTTCCACAGGTTGACTGTGCGCTGTGTGAAGAAGAACTTCCTTTTATTTGTTTTATTTATTTGTCCATTAATTTCATTTGGTGGCCCCTAGTTCTTATATTATGGAAACAAGTAAATAACTTTTCCTTATTCATTTTCTCCACACCACTCATGATTTTATATACCTCTATCATATCCCCACTTAGTCTCCTCTTTTCCAAGCTGAAAAGTCCTAGCCTCTTTAATCTCTCCTCATATGGGACCCGTTCCAAACCCCTAATCATTTTAGTTGCCCTTCTCTGAACCTTTTCTAATGCCAGTATATCTTTTTTGAGATGAGGAGACCACATCTGTATGCAGTATTCAAGTGAGCTGTAGCTCACGAAAGCTTATGCTCAAATAAATTGGTTAGTCTCTAAGGTGCCACTAGTATTCCTTTTCTTTTTGCGAATACAGACTAACACAGCTGCTACTCTGAAACAAAGTATTCAAGATGTGGGCATACCAAGGATTTATATAAGGGCAATAAGATATTCTCTGTCTTATTCTCTATCCCATTTTAATGATTCCTAACATCCTGTTTGCTTTTTTGACTGCTGCTGCACACTGCGTGAACATTTTGAAAGAACTATCCACGATGACTCCAAGAGCTCTTTCCTGATTAGCTGTAGCTAAATTAGCCCCCATCATATTGTATGTATAGTTGGGGTTATTTTTTCCAATGTGCATTACTTTATATTTATCCACATTCAATTTCATTTGCCATTTTGTTGCCCAGTCACTTAGTTTTGTGAGATCTTTTTGAAGCTCTTCACAGTCTGCTTTGGTCTTAACTATCTTGAGCAGTTTAGTATCATCTGCAAACTTTGCCATCTCACTGTTTACCCCTTTCTCCAGATCATTTATGAATAAGTTGAATAGGATTGGTCCTAGGACTGATCCTTGGGGAACACCACTAGTTACCCCTCTCCATTCTGAAAATTTACCATTTATTTCTACCCTTTGTTCCCTGTCTTTTAACCAGTTCTCAATCTATGAAAGGATCTTCCCTCTTATCCATGACAACTTAATTTATGTAAGAGCTTTTGATGAGTGACCTTGTCAAAGGCTTTCTGGAAATCTAAGTACTCTATGTCCACTGGATCCCCCTTGTCCACATGTTTGTTGACCCCTTCAAAGGACTCTAATAGATTAGTAAGACATGATTTCCCTTTACAGAAACCATGTTGACTTTTGCCCAACAATTTATGTTCTTCCATGTGTCTGACAATTTTATTCTTTACTGTTGTTCCAACTAATTTGCCTGGTACTGACATTAGACTTACTGGTCTGTAATTGCTGGGATCACCACTAGAGCCCTTTTTAAATATTGGCGTTACATTAGCTTCCAGTCACTGGGTACAGAAGCTGATTTAAAGGACAGGTTACAAATCATAGTTAATAGTTCTGCAATTTCACATTTGAGTTCTTTCAGAACTCTTGGGTGAATGCCATCTGGTCCCGATGACTTGTTACTGTTAAATTTATCAATTAATTCCAAAACCACCTCTAGTGTGTCAAGTTCTGTCTTCACTCATTCACTTCTTGGTTATATACCCTTTCATCTGCCACTGTTCAAACAGGATAACTTGTCTGCCACGTATTACTATAGATAAAGAGCCAGAAGAGGGTGACAGAATGTGTGTATACGCTGTCTGTGTTTCATAGTGTACTAATGGGGAGTGTAGTGCTTTAAGCCCAAAAGGCATAAGGAATCCAAGCATTTAGCAAGAAGAAAAAGTCACTGAGCCTGATTCTATTCTGTCCTGTGCTTTGTGTAGTCATTTACAATTGCACCAATCAGATTGAAAGTGCTACCAGCTCGGAAGGGTAGCATTCACTGACGCAGCTGTAAATGACTTGAGGAGAACCCGGTATGCATGGGCAGAAGGAAAATAGGGGGCAGAAGTGTTTCTCTCCTGTTATATGAGCTCTTCAAGTCTTCTGAGATGTCTCACCTGGGGGAAATAATGGATTTGAATTACAGGGCTTCTGTAGGTCATATCCTGGGAGGGGATTCAGCCTGCACCATGAAGAACATTAAAGTCCCGGTCCTTAGCCCCCTGATCTGACCACGTTGTGTTGCTCTCATGGTTCAAAGAGGCATAAAACTGCCCTAAGAAGGCAACTGAGGAGACCGCTTCCCTAGGGGAAACCCAGGCTACATCACTATCTACATCACTCCCTCCCAGCCCACTGCTGACGAAGTACGCATGTTGCAGGCAGGACCAGAGGTGGCTGGAGTGTGCCCTGAAAATCTCCAGCCGGCGCAACAGCCCCTTGGGGAATTCTGCAGCCAACACAGATTAGGAAAATGGTGGGGCTACCCTAATTTATTCTGGAGGTGCCGGGGGGGGAACAGCCCTCAGGATCAGATGAGTTTAAGCCACTTTTGCCTCTTCCCCCTCCCCCCCCCCCGATTTTTCACTTCCATGTTGAGCACAGCTCAGCCAGACCCAAGGACCTGGCCCTAAGAATGTGTTAACCCTATATAAAGTATGCTGCTTCTTCATATGGGCAGCGACAGAAGGAAATAAGGTAACTTAAAACTGGAGCCAAAGGAGTTTTTCTAACCTAGATTGTTTCCTTTCGTTGTACCAAAAGGCAGAGATAGATTGAAAGACAAATAGTATTTTTGTTTGTCTTACATGGATTTATGGCAAAATGCGTATTAGGTGGACTGATGCTGTAGACAAGTCTGCTGATAATCCCTTCATCATCATCTGGATCTTTAGCTGTTATATTGGCAACAACAGTTCCTGGGCTGTTTTCCTCTGGAATCCTGTAGACTCTCTCTTTCCTAGAGTAGACAAAGAAGTTCAACAGAGGCAAATAAATATTCCCCCACGTCCCTTGCTAAGTGTCAATATTGCTTGAGAGTCATAGAATTGTAGATGTCAGAAATAGAAGAGACCTGTTAGATCATCCAATCCATCTCCTGGCAAATGGATTAGCTGTTTTCATTCCATCCACATGCAGGTTAAAAGATAAAAATAGCAGCAGCAGTATAAGGAATCTTGCTACGGAATAAATACGGTCACTGCTACCAGGACAATATCATTTTAAAGAACTTGTCTCAGTGGTGCAATAAACTTTTTAAATGACAGGGTCTGCTTTCCCCGGACTGAGCATTCCCAGAACTCCAGGCAACATTTGGTTCACTTTATTTATAAAACCAGCTCAACATATTCACCCTGACAGGGCCAGATTTCTCCTGAATGAGCTTATGGCCCAGGCATTGTTTTACATGCAGATTTGCATGGTTACTTGTGATTATTTCAGCTGCATGTACAAATGAGTATTCTGATGTGCAATTGCAATCACTGCATGTGCAAAAGTAGGCATGGCAGAGCATGCGCAAAACTATGCAAGGGCCTCAGGCCTCCCCTAATGGAAATCTGACCTATTCTATTGAAAATAATGCACATGTCTTAGGGCCCGCTGTGGCAAGGTGCTCACTGAAGTCAAAGGGAGTGGAGGGTGCTCAACACTTTCCAGAAGTGCTCAGCATCTTTACTGACAAATGTCAACATTTCAATGAGCTTCCCATGTCATTACTTAACTCGTTAATCATTCCATAGTCCATGGCCCCCAAGGAAATTAGGGGGCAATATATCATACTCTGAAGGACAATAGACATGGGGTAGCTTTGACCAGCCAGGGAAGTGAATTACAAAGCCTAGTTCATCTGTGGAGGATATCGTGGCTCTGGTCCCCAGATTTTCGAATGTAGGAACTGCTAGGGACAGCACGCAAGCTGCCCTAATTGTTACAACAGCACACAGGGAAAGAGGAGGGAAGCCACATAGAGCTTGACAGATCAAAGACAACCTGAATTTCACCTAGAAGCAAACAGGAAGGTAGTGAGGTCTATGGAGAATAGACACAATAAGTTCCAACTCATCTAAATTCCAATTTTTAAAAAACTTGCCCTCTTTGTGACTGGAACCCACACCACCTACCCACCCCCACAGGCAGTCCTAGCCATGACATAGAGTGGTTATTCAGCCCTCCACAGGGTCTTGCATGGAGAGACAGGAAGCTTCTGAGCACACTGCAGGTAGTGCTGAATGCCAGCACCACTGTGCCATGGGTTTGGCCACTTCCTTTTGAGATATATCTAGACTACGTGCTGTTGCTGATCTATCAGCCTCCTGCCAGTAGCTTTATATAGGATGCTTCAGGCAATGCCTTTTAGACAAAGACTACAATGTAATTAAGAGAGAAACATATTTGCTTTCTTGTCTCCTCCTTTGGTTTCCCATTCTGAGGAGCAGATTTTCAAAGGGTTGGCTGCCAATGTAGGATTTTGCACACCAAAAACTGATGTGTTTGCATATCTTGTGGGTACTATTAAAAAGACCCTTTGAAACTTTCGCCCTAAAAGCTTTGATCAGAAAAAATGAAAACAGGTTTGTAAACTTGTCAGGTTTTCCCAAACTCCCACCACAGCTCTAATCATGATAGAGTCATGAAGTTCAAAGCCCAGGCATGCAGCTCACATGTGTTTTTGTATGTGACTCAGTAGTGATATGGGAGGTCAATTAATGAAGTATCATTTTATCTTTGGAAGCTCAAGCTCTTAACAAACAGCTTGAGCTGTGCTTTTTGGTTTGTAATACCAATAGAAATCCTTATTCTCAATAGGAAGAGACCATTTCATTCAGGGATCAACCAGATACCAGTGATTCTCTGTTCTATATAAATATTGTTTTTTACATCTAAAACACGAAGTCATTGCTGTTATTCATTAGCTTAGGATATAGTATGGTTGAAAAGGTAGCTAGATATTTAGCATAATACCAGTAGTCTTTCAAGTCTCCTGGATAAAATAACAATAATGGCAACTTTTGGAGGGGGAAAATCAGTCTAGAAAACAATGTGGTCCTACAGGTACAAATGGTGTTTCTGAAATGTATGAAACTCCTCCTAGTTGTATGTGACCAGCACAGTAACGTGGGGCATTTACATTTAAACCTCTCTCTGCTAATTGTTTCCTTCATGCATTTCAAGTATCAAATAGGCAGGAAGAAAAAGCCACATTTCTATTTATAATACTTTGTTCTTCTATTTCACCAAACATCTCAGGCTTTACAGATCATACCCAGATCCTTGGCCCCAATTCCAGCAGCTTTCCACTGGTCAGGCAGCACAAAGCAGCCAGAGGGGCAGCTGGAAGTCTCTTGGCATGGTGATAAAACAGTGTCGCTGGCTTCTCCCTCCTCTGTATAGAGGGCAGGGCTGAACCTCACTGCACTCTGGCTGATCTTCACAGGCATAATGGCCTGTGGAGGGACGTTACAACCTAGCATGGATTAGATCAGCCCTTGCTGTGCCCTAACTTGTGCCAGGTTGCCACCAGGATCAGGAGAAGAATTAGAGCCTTTCTCTGTGCAAGTGAAGATTAAGGCCCTTAATTCTAACACTGCTTTGAGGTAGATAACCTCTATAAAACGGATACAATATTTCAGTGATTTGTCCAAGACCACACAGGCAGTCGTTAGCAGAGTCAGATCAAGAATTTGGGAGTTCAACCTACCAGGCACCTGCTCTAACCATTATAGCCCACATTCCTTTCCACTGTAAAATAACCTTGTTGACACCAAAACTTGCTCAGGGTGGCTGCCGGATCAGGCCCTGCAGGGAAGATAGGCAGGTGAATGCCTATCTTCCTTCAGTTCATGGATCGTGCTGGGAGTTAGGCAGGAGACAGGTGTCCAGACCCCTAGAGGGAGGCAGCAGCTCACATGTCCAGAGGCAGAAAGGTAGCTAGGGAACTTTTACGGAAAATGTTTAGGTACTAAAGGTGGCACCTGAGTAGGGGGTGTCACGGAGTCCCTGGGTGATGCTCTGGAACTGCTCCCCATGAAGCCAGTCAGGACTCTGGGGAAGTCTCCTTTCTGTGAGCAGCCTGTCTTCAGGACACACAGCTCACACAGCTCACACAGCTTCCACCTTCCTGGGTCTGACCTCAGAGCATTCAGCATACTCTGCCCCTCCGTGTGCTTCCCACAGCAAGTCCGCTCAGGCGGGGCTCCTGGGGAAGCCAGAGGGTCCTACACCCCAGCTTCACAGTCAGACGTGACTCCCAGCCAGCCAGTAAAACAGAGGTTTATTATACGACAGGAACATGGTCTAAAACAGAGCTTGTAGGTGCAGAGAATCGGACCCCTCAGCTGGGTTCATTTTAGGGGCAGTGAGCCAGACAACCATGTCTGCCCTTCACTCCATGTCTCCAGCCAGCCCCAAACTGAAACTCCCTCCTGCCCCTCCTCCTCTTGGCTTTGTTCCTTTCCCAGGCCAGGAGGTCACCTGATTCCTTTGTTCTCCAACCCTTTAGCTCTCACCTTGCAGGGGGGAAGGGCCCAGATCATCAGTTGCCCGGAAACAGGGTGTCGGCCATTCTCTGTGGCCAGACTCCTGCACACACCTGCCCTCTAGGGCTCTGCAGTGATCATACACCCTTACCCCACCACCTAGATACTTAAGAACTGCATAGGGGAAACTGAGGCACCCCCACACTATTCAGAGGAAACATTAAGAACAGTCCCACTTCGTCACGGGGGCTTATGCATTGCAGTGGACCCTAAAATTGGGACTTAGGGCCTGGATCCATAAAGATATTTAGGCTCCTAACTTCCAGTTTAAATCGATGGCAGTAAGGAGTCTAAGTACCTTTGTGGATCCGAACCATAGACCTTATTTTGACATTCTGCACAGGGGTGAGTTTCAGCCAGACAGAGTGTATGTCTTCATGCTTGACTTAGCATCAAACACAAGCTTTGAAAATTAACTGTAATAACATGTACAGGGATAATGGAAAGAAACTGATAAAAACGTCCAACAAGAGACTAAGAAGTCATAACAAAATGAAAATAGTGTTTTAGCAACAGTTATTAGAATAGTTATTAATGTTTGCCAGAAGCTGGGAATGGGTGACAGAGAATGGATCATTTGATGATTACCCTGTTCTGTTCATTCCCTCTGAAACACCTGGCATTGGCCACTGTTGGAAGACAGGATACTGGGCTGGAAGGACCATTGGTCAGACCGAGTATGGCTGTTCTTATGTATTATCATTAGTTTATTATTATGTGTATGGTCGTGGCACCTCAGAGCCCCAGTCATGGAGCAGGACCCCATTTTGATAGGCTCTGAACAAAAAGATAGACCCTGCCCCAAATAGCTTACAATCTAAGTTTAAAAAAGATGGATATAGAAAGAGGGAGAAGTACATGGAAACAATGAGACATTGTATCAGTTAATGGCTATGCTATAGAGTCTCCCAAAAGGTTGAACCAATAATGCTGAGGCTGAAAAGTCTGAGAACTATGTGTATTTTTAGGGTGCAAAGTGATCGTTTCACTTACGTGGTAAAGTAAGGTGTTTCGTCATTGGTGTTAATGATGTTGACTATCACTGCCCTGGTGGTGCTCAGCCCTAGGCGGTCTGTCACTGTTATGTTTAACAAATAACTGTTAAATAAAAACAAAATCAAACCAGAATCACACCGTGGATTACATGCAGTAGGTCTCTGTTAACAATGAACAACGAGAATGATCAGAGGATCAAAATGAATACTTACAGATGTGGATCTCTCTCAAAATCAAATTCTTTTGTGGAAGAAATGGTTCCAGTTTGAGAGACCATGAATGGCTGTGACACAGGGGTACATGAATACTGGAATAAAAGGATTATGAATTAGTATCTGTATCTTTTTAAAACATCCAGCCATTCATTCACTGGCTTACAGAATGGATCAAGGAAATATATGCCCCACATTTACAGTATTCCCAGAACTCTGTGTATGGAAATGTACAGGCATCGTGGTCACCAGCAGGATCAAACCCAGGACATTCATCACCAGAAACACAAGCCACTGTCACTTGAGCTATAGAAGTAGATCTTCTGGTAAATAGCAAGCAGGGCATGACAGTGGTCCCCATTAGAAAGAGACATGGTCACACACCAAGCTAGTCATTGTGTCACATTTTTATCAGAATAATTCTCACCCCCTCTGGTATCCTAATCCATGAAAATAATGTAATTTACCGGCTGGTGTGTGTGCACGTGCCACTACCCATCTAGTGGTTGGGCTGCAGGAAATACTTAAGCAAGTCTGACATTTTATCCGGAAGAGAGTAGTGGTGCACAGATATTTAACCAGCACAGTATAATCTCCATGTCCAAGGTAGATCACCTTTTTCTGCATTTAACTAATATTCTGTATGCCAGTTGAGATGCTCCTCTACACTGTTACTAACAACACACTGCTCAGGTCCTCATCTGGTGTAAATCAGCATGGATCTATTGTCTTCAATGGAGCTATACTGTTTTTTACAAAAGTTGAGGATACAGCCATTATCAAGATAGAGCAGATATGCAGTAAGACAGCAGTAAGTCTTTGTAAGACAGCAGTTGCAAAGCCTTTTGCCCTTCATCTCTTGGAGGTCCATGCAGGATAGATAGAGAAGAGAACACTGACACACAGTGCAGTTGTACAATGACTTTGTGTTTTTATTCAGGAAACTGCTCCCAGGTTGCCTGCCTCAGGGACATACCATACTTAGTCTGGTTTCTCTTCTGGTCCCTTCCTTTCAAGTGGGCCTAAGAACTGATTCTGCTACCCATAGGCCATAATCAGTAATCCTGTGAAGACATCATGTCTGTACTACAAAGTTATGTTGACCAAATTTATGTCAGCATACAGCCACCACAGTAAGTACTTCGCTTGTGCATATGCGTACTTGGCTCCTGGTGTCACCAGTGCATGTCTTCACCAGGAGCTCTTGTACTGATGTAGCGTGCAGTGCACCAGGGATAGTTATCCCACAATGCAACTCGCCACTGTCCAGTGCAGAGTCTTGTGGGAAGTTTTTGCAATGCCTGATGGAGCCAAAACGAATTGTGGAAGGGTGCCTGGGAGCATGGGGTCAACTTCCCATAATGCAGTGTTCTCCATCCCATAATTTCATCTGCATACCATAATTTTCGTGCCTTCTTTTCAAAATCCCATAAACCCCCATATCTCCTCTTACCATATGCCATCTCTGATAGATGCATGGCACCTGCGCAGTTCTACACTCAGTTCATGAGCATTGCAAGGATAGGGTGCATGATCCCGGGGTACTGCAGAACCTCAGGAGGAGCTGCAGGGGACATAATTCCTTGGAGGCTAGATTACCATGGGACATAGAAAAAAACAATTCAAGATTGTTGGTGGCATTCATGGAGCAGCTGGAGATGGTAAAGTGCTGGTTCTGGGACTGAGAAACGAGCACTGACTGGTGAAATTGCATCATCATGCAACTTCAGGCTGATGAGCCGTGGCTGCAGAACTTTTGGATGAGCAAGGCCACATTCCTAGATCTGTGTGCCCCAGCCATCCAATGCAGAGACACCTGAGAAGCAAGTAGTGATCGTACCCTGGAAACTTGCAATGCCAGATGGCTACAGCCAGTTGGGAATCAATTTGGAGTCAGGAAATCCACCCCAGAGGCCATTGTCATGCATGTGTGCAGGGCCATTAATCGCCTCCTGCTATGCAGGATTGTGACTCTCAGCAATGTGCAGGACATAGTGGATGGTTCTGCAGCCGGGGGTTTCTGAACTGTGGTGGGGTGATAGATGACGCCTATTCCTTTTTTTGGAGTTAGACCACCTTGCCACAGAGTACGGCAACAGAAAGGGCTACTTTTCTATGGTTAAGCAACCGCTGCAGGATCACTGGGGACGCCTTATTGACAGCAGTGAGGGCTGGTCAAGGAAAGTGCATGACACATGTATCTTTAAGAACAAAGGACTGTTCAGAAAGCTGCAAGCAGGGACTTTCTTTCCCAACCGGCAGATTACCATTGGCACTGTTGAAATGCCAATAGTGATCCTGGGGAACCCAGCCTATCCCTTGCTCCTATGGCTCATGAAGCCATACTCCTGCCCCCTCAACAGCACCAAGGAGCACTTCAGCTACAGGCTCAGCGGGTGCAGAATGACAGGGGAATGTGCCATTTCCAGGGTAGCTGGCATTGTTTCCTTACAAGATTGGAACATAAGAACATAAGAATGGCCATACTGGGTCAGACCAAAGGTCCATCCAGCCCTGTATCATGTCTGCCAACAGTGGCCAATGCCAGGTGCCCCAGAGGGAGTGAGCCTAACAGGTAATGATCAAGTGATCTCTCTCCTGCCATCCATCTCCACCCTCTGACAAACAGAGGCTAGGGACATCATTCCTTACCTATCCTGGCTAATAGACATTAATGGACTTAACCTCCATGAATTTATCTAGTTCCCTTTTAAACCCTGTTATAGTCCTAGCCTTCACAACCTCCTCAGGCAAGGAGTTCCACAGGTTGAATGTGCACTGTGTGAAGAAGAACTTCCTTTTATTTGTTTTAAACCTGTTGCCCATTAATTTCATTTGGTGGCCCCTAGTTCTTATATTATGGAAACAAGTAAATAACTTTTCCTTATTCATTTTCTCCACACCACTCATGATTTTATATACCTCTATCATATCCCCACTTAGTCTCCTCTTTTCCAAGCTGAAAAGTCCTAGCCTCTTTAATCTCTCCTCATATGGGACCCGTTCCAAACCCCTAATCATTTTAGTTGCCCTTCTCTGAACCTTTTCTAATGCCAGTATATCTTTTTTGAGATGAGGAGTACGCAGTATTTGTACTTTTTTTGTATTTGCATTTGTACGCAGTATTCAAGATGTGGGCATACCATGGATTTATATAAGGGCAATAAGATATTCTCCGTCTTATTCTCTATCCCTTTTTTAATGATTCCTAACATCCTGTTCGCTTTTTTGGACTTCAGTGAGAAAAATATCCCAGTGGCTATAGCTGCCTTCTGTATCCTGTAAAGCAAAGGGGGAAAAGTTTCTGCCAGGGTGGAGGTGGGGCAACTATCTGCTGACTTTGAATAGCCAAGCTCAGGGAGGCTTTGAAAGACCATTTTAATAATGATCCAGAATAGTGTGTGTGTGCTGTAGTGTGGTTCACCTGGCCTTGCTCTTTTGTGGCCCAGTATGAATCTTGTGGTGATTTCTGTGTATTTTGGAATATAATATTGTCAATGCATCTATTTATATTGTTTATGAATGGTGCTATGGGTTGTGTGACACTGTGCAGTAACAGATAATTGGCTGCTGTCCGACCTACTCAGCACCAACCAGCATATATTGTGAACTAATAAAGATTAATTTCATTACAAAAAAAAACTTATTCTGTAATATGAATGGGGCAATTAAAGAAAACCTTTTGAAATTTAATAAAAATTAAAAAATTAAGGGAATAGAACTTATGATGTGGAAAAAATAGTCATGTCCATTTTAGGTACACATACACCAACCGGGGCTTACACAGGTCAGTGTATATGAAGCTGTGATTGTCTTTAATGTCCCCTGGAGTGGAGTGATAAGGGTAGTGCACTGACCCCTGATGCCACATGGAATGTTGAGTGGGGACATAGGAAGGTCCCGATCAGGGGTGAAAGTAACTTAAAGGACTTACCAGTACTCCAGAGTCCTGAGCAGGGGGCATGGCCTCGACCAGAAGAGGCGTGGCCTCAACTGGAAGAGTCGGGGCTTTTAAATACCTGGGCCCTTTAAATCAAGATTTAAAGGCCCCAGGGCTCCAGCTGTGACTGGGAGCCCCCAGGCCTTTAAATTACCCCCAGAGCTTCCAGCTGCAGAGGCTCAGGGGTGATTAAATGGGCCCCGGGCTCCAGCCACCGCTACCGCAGTGGAACTCCAGACCCTTTTAATGACCACCGGAGCCCTGCCGCCACTACCCCGGGGCTCCGGCAGCGGGGCTCAGGTGGCGCTTTAAAGGGGGCTCTAGCCGCTGCGGGGAGCCTGGGGTCCTTTAAAGCGCCAGCCTGGGGAAGCCAGTCTGGTCCGGCACAGCGTACTGGCTCTTGCAGGTACGCCGGACCGGACCGGCTTACTTTCACCTCTGGTCCCAATATTGAGTTCTCAATGGGCTGCAGCGGGAAACGAGCATGGAATTGTTGGACCTACAGGCCCACCAGAGTCTGCAGCATCTCTGTTTGCTGTCTGAGAAGAACAAGCATGTCCTGCTGCACATCCCCTCTCCTTTTCCTGCACCTTTCTCCTCTCCACTCCATCCTTCTCCAGGTTACCAGTAAGGGTCATCCTCCAAGCCCTGTGCTCATTCTCTGATGCAGCACTGGCTTGCAGGATATCCTGGAACACGTCATCCTTAGTCCTCTTTTCTTCCTCCGTATCTGGCTCAGGCATTCCGTGAGTGGGGATGGGGAGACCCTACAGCTGCAATGGCAGCAGCTGCAGGTACAACACACACAGGTACCTTTGTCAGTGTTTTCATGATGGAAATCAAAATGTAACGTGGAACTCACTCCCCTTGCTCCCCAAAAGTTGTAAGTGCTGCATTCTCACTTCTGCTTGGGACTGATAGAGCATGGCACCAGCCATGCTGAGGATGGCCCTCCAGCAGTTGGGAAAACGAGGAGGGAATTGCTCTGTTGCATAATTCTGGTTGTATAGGGCAATGGAACTGCATACTGGCACCGTTTCCCCCGGGGGTGGTGATTTTAGCTGATATCTCATTCCTGAGGGTAACAGAGGCTCCTTGTAATTTCAAAGTAAACTGCACACTTACCAGAGTTTCCTTCCCCTGCACCAGGCTCTCCTGTGCTCGACAGTCAGGACTGGCTGGACTCCAGTGGAGTCAAAACCAGGTCCTGGCTCACTGAGCAGCTAGATCCCCCGGTCACCTGCTCCTCCTCCTCGTCCACTTCTCCTCACTGTTCATGGCAGGGGCCTGTGATTCGGGCTCCTCAGAAGTATCCACAGGGTTCTTGGGGGTAGTGGTGGGGTCTCTGCTGAGGATGGCATGCAGCTTTCTGCAGCTCAGCACCAGATCGATTGTTGGCCTCCCTGGCCTTCTGGTACACCTGCCGCAGCTCCTCGGCTTTCATATGGCACTGCTGCTGGTCCCTGTTGTAGCCCATCTCCTGCATCTGTCAAGCAACCTACTCATAGATATCCACATTTCTGTGGCTGGATGGGAGCTGTGCCTGCAGAGCCTCTTCTCCCCAGAGGCCCAGGAGATCCACCACCTCCTGTCTCCTCCAGGCAGGAGTGTGCCTGGAGTGTGTAGCCAGCATGGTCAGCTGGGCAGTTGCACTCAACAGTGGAGAGCTGCTAGGGTGTGCTCGCCAAGCCAGGCAATCAGGAAAAGGAATTTCAGAAATTCGTGGGGCTTCCCATCTACCTGACCCTGAAGCAGTGGAGTTCACAACAGTGACCAGAACGGACACTGTGGGGCATTGTGAGACAACTGCTGGAGGCTAGTAAAGGTTGACATAAGTAACAGAGTGTCTACACTCACATTGCGTCGACCTAACTACGTTGACCCTGACTCTATGTTGCTTGGGGAGGTGGTGTTATTAAATCAGTGTAATGGGGCACTTATGTCATCAGGAGCCAAATTCAAGTGGAGAGACACCCACAGCTAGGTTAACGTAAGGTGCCTTGAGTCAACCTAACTGTGTAGTGTAGACCAGGCCTAACTTAACAAGTGATATTCTAGAACATACAGCATCAAATAATGATAAGCCAGGTGATCAGTAAAGTGTTCTTAAAAATCCTACAGCCTTATGAAAGACCTGCTCAACTGGTGCTACTCCTCTTGTGTTACTTCTTTGACAAACAGAAATGAAATAGAACCGAGTGTAACCACAACTCATCTCCTATTGTGATATGTTTAACTGAAGTTGCTGAAAAAGCGGCTGAGTAATCTAATCAATTAAGCTAACAAATTCTTGTCAATGGACCACTCTAGTTTTCCTGCTGGGAGTATTATTGTACCAGCAGTCCATCATTTCTGCATGTGCGTCTCCTTATTATGACTGGGATTTATCACAGATTCAAAGACTTTTGCTTATGAAGAATTCACTGCAGTTATTTTTCTCTTTCATTGGCAATAATCGTTAATCTAGAGCTAAATCCTGAGGCCTTTACATCTTTTCTTATTCAGTCAAACCCACATTGACTTCAGTGGGAGTTTGACTGAGAAAAGACTGAGTAAGGAGGTCAAGAATGCAGCTCCTAAAATGTAATTGGTCTTTTGAGTATTGCTACAGGCTGAAGTAACACCTGAAGTGTCTGTTTGTGATAATGTTGTATCTTTCACCAGTTTCTCAGGTAAAAGTCTGCAAAAAGTGACTTTTCTGAAATTCCTGCTGATATCCAGAACCTTTTCATTTTTTTAAGCTGTTGGCCACAAATCACACTGTATTGCTTTCCAGATGGCTAAATGCTGAGGTTTCATTGCATGAAGAGTTATTTCCCCAATGTTTCATTTAAAAGAAACTTCAATGTAACATAAAAGATTAAAAGCCCCATTTAACCCTTACTCTGAAAAGGGGTTTTGGAGACAGTTTGTAAGAAAGACCCCGTTACCTGCTATATCTATGGTGGGTCATAGCAAAACCCTGTCTCCAAACTCTAACTTCAGGGTGTTCAAATTTTAAAACCTACTCCATACCCCAGTGGTGAGAGATTGGTCCCTTCTTATCAAAAATAACATTCTGCTATTCTAGCTTATTATTTAAAATGTTTCATTTCAACTGACAATATACCGTTTTCTATATGCCTGATGAGTGAGTTCAGAGGAGAAAGTTCCTGGGAATTAGTTATACTTCAGATGCAGTGGATTGCATTGTCTCTCTCTCTTTTTTCCTTAATTAAACTTACTGTGAGTTGTGACTGTTCAGGATCAGATGCATCAATCTGGTAAATAACTCCAGGAGGTGTTCTATTTCCCTCCAAGATATAGATCATTACAGCTGGATGAATAGAAATATAGTCAATGTTAATTTTATCTTTAAAAAAGACACAGATATACTGACTGTATCAGAACACGTCATTACCTGATGCATGTACTCACTCTGCAACTCTGTCTAATTCCAAAATAAACAAAATACCCAAACACACACCAAAACAACACACAGCTGGGTCAAAAGAACATGCCCCCATGCTGTAAATAGACAACCATCAATATTTGTGATTATGAAGCTTACATCACTGACAGACAGAGCATATCTTGAACTGGTCATTGGTAAATGACCTGGGCTAGCTTGAATTTTTATGTCATTGGGGGATTGTGACCAGGACCACCCACCTGCCTCAATAAATGGGAAACCTGATGGGGCCAGCAGCAATTGGGTTAGGCCCAGTTGAATGTGGAAAGAGAACATGTGCTGAGAGGATGCAGGGGTGCCCTTCCCCTTCAAAGTCTCTAGTCACTGGTTGGCAAGCTTGGGGAGGAAGGGATCTGACTGGTCCCTCACTCTCCTCTTTCATTAATTTAAACCCTAGCTTCGGCCTCGTGAAGCCTCTTGCTTTTTGCTCCATTCTAGCAGCCTCACCCTCTGTCCCCTGTACTAGCAGCCATGAAGCTGTGTTTTGTGGATGCTATGGCTCTGATTGTTTGCCCGCTGTAGGGTCAGGAATGAATTTTTTTCTTCCTGTAGGGGCCAAACTGGCAGAGGGCTGGGGAGTTTTTTGCCTTGCTCACAGCATCCTGGAGGCACGGTTAAGTTAAATAAGAACAGAGTTTAATAATTAATACTCAATAAGGATGTTATTTCATTGCAACTTGCCGCTAGTTTTGAGTGTGGTTAAAAGGATAAAAGGGATGGTTCGCAGAAGTAAAAGACCTGGGATTTTACTGGTGGGCCTTGTGTTCATGGGATAGGAGGAGACCCTGAGGCCTTTGTGGGCTGAGGTTCCCCCCTTTTCGTACCCTTGGTCCCCCTTGGGGGCAGAAGTAGGACTCAGAAAAACGAACTGAGTCCTAGGGGTAAGATGAAGAGAGCCTACACGAGTGGTGGGTTATTGGGTAGGGAATCCTTTAGCCCCCACACTGGAACCACTTAAAATGCCTGGCAGGTGAGAGTATGGCTAACAGGATAGATAGCAGCCCTCCCAAGTGTTAAATGTAATAAAGTTGTGGCCTGATGCTTTAAAATCCATCCTTGTGTTTGTCCCTTTTCTTCACTGTGTCTACGTCAATTCAGTTCATATCATGAACTGCTAGGACTAGGATCTCATGTGCTACATCATTGGAAACATGGGAATCCCAGCTTTCCTAAGATGTATAGGAATTATTGCTAGTATGGGCAGTTAATGAGTAAGCGGACCTTTAACTCATTATTTACTGTAGACTTTTTCATGTCTGCTGTGTCCTGTGCTTATAGAATATTAATCTGTCCCTGACCCTGACTGGCTGCTTGTGCCCAAAGGAGCAGCAGTAATCCCCAAACAGCAGAATGAGGATTCCTAGATGACAGTGATATGAATATGAAGTTTAATGAGAAACAGACACATTTTAATAACCAGTGAATGTGCCATCAGTGTTAACGGCAGCTGGTATTGATAACTAACCCCACCCAGTTAGACAACTCCTATGTCTGTGTTCACTGATTTACTGCAGCTCTAGCTGAGTGTTAAACTGATGCAATTATTTTTAACAAGCTCCCAAATATAGCATGTTTCATGCTGCGCCCATCCCCTGAAGCATCATCATGTCAAATCTCATTATTATTTTTTACAGTAGCACCCACAACATGCTAGGCACTGTCCATGCTCTGAAGACCCAGGCCCTTCTCCAAGGAGTTTATTTTGTCTCTTGTACAAAGTATAGTAAAGAAGCAAGAACTCCAGGGATGCTTACATGTTATTTGTTAAACTGGCTGTTTTCCAGCTAGAAATGGGCCTGAACCAAAACCTGCACTGGCTCTTAATCCTTAACTTTGGCAGGGATCAGTATTTAAACTTAGATCCAAACTTCATCACTGGCCTCTGCCAGTGAGCCAAAACCCTGAAATAACATTGCCATTCTCCCAACTATTGAGGAGTTCATAAGCTGGCTCCATATTTTGTGGCTCTGGCCCATCTGTATTTTTGGGTAGGAAAAAAAAATCTTTGAATGTTTAATAATTCATTGCTGTTCCATACACATACACACACACATGTTAGAACACTGAAGTTTCAAACTGAAACTCTTAAAAGTCAGGAAGTGACAAAATTATGATTTCTCTTGTAACCTTAATTCTGCCCCTTTATATATGTATATGTTATACAGCCTTCAGTTACATGATGTCATGGTATAAGTTCTGCAGGTCCCCTCATTACTGAGTGAGCTAGATAGGTGCTCAGTGAGCCAGGCAGCTGTTTGATATTTACTTTTATCCTCTTTGAGATGTGGGGCCATGTACTGAACATACACTGCTCTCCTTCCAAACCCCACCCTGAATGAGGAAGGGATTCTGTGAACTCCAGCCTCCTTCTCAACACCCTGAGCAATTGCTGCAGTGAATGAAGCAGAGGTGCTCCAAGTTCCCACACATTGCACACACCCCCCCGCCCACACACACACACACACACACAGAGCTGGGCCAAAATCACCGATCACATGGAGATAGTATTTTTGGAACCCTGTCTCTTTCCTTATGCACTATCACAGATCATAATCCCCATGACCTTACATTTAAAACTGATTTCCCACATAAATTTCTCTCACACACATGCAGATTCACTGTACTGCTGTGCACGCTGGCTGAACACTAGCTTTATTGTCTTTCAGAAACTCTTGCACATGCACAAAGTACATTTATTTAAACCTTTGTTGCTTCTCCAAATCCAATTCAGTTTTCAACAAGGCACAAAACAGTATGTCCATAACAAAGTGGCTATGCCTGGTTCCATAGAAGGAACTTGAATGTCAAGACACTCAGCATCACAATGCCTAACTTTTAGGTGACTAAAAAACACAGGAGCAACACTGCAATCTGAAAAGCCTGGGTTAGCCACTAGACTCCTATATGAGGAGATAGATAGGTGCCTCAGAATGTGATCCACAAAAGCCAACAGGCTAGGTGGGGATCTGCCTAAAATAGCCAATGGGGGGTGGGGAGCACGTCCTAAGCCCCACACCCTCAGGTCAGATTTCCATGCCTAAATCCGGGCTGCTAGGAGGGGCCTATCTTTGCTTGTGATTTACAAACTGGGAGAAGGTGGGTGTTTGGCCACTTAAGTCACATGCAGGGAACAATCAGAGGCTGCCTAAATCCACACACAACAGCCAGGCTTGGGCAGGAGAAGGAGCTCCCTTAATATTTAACCCAAGGGTTAGGGTACTCCCCCGGGATGTGGGAGAGCCCTAGTTCAAGTGCCCAATGAGGAGAAGGGATTCAAACAGGGATCTGCCACTTCTCAGGGGAGTGCCCTAACCACCAGGCTATAGGCTCTTTTTCTGGCCCAATTAATATTTAATTGTTCAATTATTTAAAGTGGAACAACTTCAACAGGAGAGATTGAGGGAGACTGCATAGTCTAGGGCGCTCACCTGAGAAGTGGCAGATCCCTGTTCAAATCCCTTCTGCTCACAGGCACCAATTTTTCATTTTTCTGGGTGGATGCTCCACGCCCACTCTGCCCAGAGGCCATGCCACTTCCCCCAAAACCCCACCCTCGCTCTTCCTGTTCCTGGCCCCACTCCATCCTCTCCCCCCAGCACCTTCTGCTCGCTGCCAAACAGCTGATCGGCGGGTGGGTGCTGAATACCCACTATTTTTGTTCCGTGGGTGCTCCAGCCCCAGAGCACCTGTGCAGTCGGTGCCTATGCTTTTCCTCATCAAGCAGAGAGAGGACTTAAACTGAGCATTGCCCCCATCCCAGCTCAGAACCCTAGCCACTATGCTAAAGGTTATAAGGGAGGGCCTCTTTTCCTGCCCCCACCCCAGCTGTTTCATGTGGAATTAGGCAACCTCTAATCAGGCCCCACAAATGATTTAGGTGGCCAAACAGTTTGTCTTTCCCCTGGTTTGTCAATCACTGTGTGGCTCAGGTGGGAGATTGGCACCCGGATGCGCAGAAGGAGGTTCAGATGCAGAAACTTAGATGGCAAGAGACTTTAGGTGCCTAGATGGTTAGGCGCAGCCAAGGGGAGTTTTGTGGATTGCTGTGATGCCTAAAAATAGTACTCGGATGTTTATGTACTTGTATGGATCCCACTCTACCTCCCTATCAAATGGGAAGTCTCTAATAGCTGCCACTAAGACACTTCAACGAATCAAAAAAGCTCATAAATATTTATTGTTATCACTAGCACTGCTTTCTTTTCACTCTTTTGGTATTTGAAAATGCCTAACCCATTTTTAGTGCAAGTCTCAAGGAGGGAAGTCACTCCCTGCATGAGATCAATCACTAAATTTCAGCTGAAAACATAAAACAGGTAACAACCACAGTGACCCTCTAGAATGGAAATATTTGGCCAATCTTAACTATAAGCATTGTTAGGCATTCTGTCTATAACATTTAGTGATTAAGGTTTAGTTTCCCAATGTTGTAATTTCAAGCATTAGTCTCTTTTGTTACTTCCAAGCAGTTCTCTTACTTTGGTTTGCCAAATTGCCACGAAACACAGGAGGTTCATTAACATCTGTTATTTGGACAGTAAGTATTTGAAGGTCACTTGCCCCAGCTGTATCACTGACATAAATCTGCAAATCAAAGCTGTTTGGCATAGTTTCATAATCTAGAACAGGATCTCCAGTGGTAACAACCTGAAATGTAACAAATTATTAGTAGCACACTATGCAATCAAATCTGTAATTATTGTATATAGGAATAAATACATATAAAAAGGTGCCATGTTGGACTGGTTAAAGACTGAGGGCTACAGGAAGATGCACCAACTGAGGGGGTACTGCAGTAGGTCCCTGTTGGACTATTAAAGACTGAGTCCAGGGAGGACTGAAGGACATTTTGGACTGTATCCCCCGGAAGGGCTTTGCTTGTTTTGCACATGGAGAGAGTGTGACTTGGCCGGAGGGCTGAGTCACCGAAGCCCCACTTAACAAACGCAGTGGCTGATGGGTCGCTGTGAGCAGAGAAAAAAATCACAGGCATGCACACCCTCAACCAGGGTGCGCTCGTGGGAGGTGGGTGCCACTCTGCCACACAGTCTAAATGAGAATCTAGATATTTCTAAGCAGATTGGGTCCTGCTTAATAGAAATATACCTCCAATTCACAACAATTAAACATTTTCACTGATTTCATGAACAGTGTGGTAAGCTATATATTCAGCTTTGATGCTGCTGTTTTTAGATGCCTCTCCAATGAAGAGGAAAGAGATGCTCAATTGTCCTTACAGAGCACGATGGAGAAATACAGCATGTTATCTGGAGGTGAGCTGGACCACTCTTTGCGCCTCTGAGCAGGAACAATTCTAACTCCAACTACCGATTGCTGCTGCTGTGGGCCTGGAGAGGGGGAGCCTTAGCTATACACTGCTCAAAGCAGGAGACTTGGTGCATGGGCTAGCATGTTCCTGCATAATGTGTGGGGAACCTGCTCTGCTGCTTTTGTTCTGTGGGTGGAGGGTAGGTAAGAATCTCCCTATGCTCTCCTCCCGCTCTCGCACCACAGCAGCAGAGGGTTGTGAAAATAGAGATTCTAATTGTCAGCCCCCATAATTCATGCATGAAAATAGCCTTCCCCCTATCTCAGCAAAGACTTAATTGTAGAGTGTAGTTCTGGGGTATCTCATTACTAGGCGTTCATTACTTTTACAAAATATGGTACTACACATTCATTAGAATATTATGCAACAGCATAAATAATTAACACTAACTATGCTTGTCCAGTAAATGAGCTAATTACATTTGTGCCGCATCATCCTAGCTTTTTAAATCATGTTTTTCACTTGCCTAGTAGTTTGCAGAACTTAGTAATTCACAATGGAGTCATTGGGACAGATTTCAGGGCACATCTACACTATAGCAGCACAGGTATGGTTCTGCAGTGTAGATGCTTCATACATTTTCAGAAGGGGGGTTTCCCTTTGGGGTGACCAGATAGCAAGTGTGAAAAATCTTGGAGAAGCGGTAGCTAGGGTGATGGAAGAATTCTTCTGTTGATCTAGCTGCATCTACCATGGGGGTTAGATCGACCTAACTACATCACAGAGGGTGTGAAAATTTTCACAGCCCTGGGAGATAAAGCTAAGTCAATCTATTTTTTTAGGGGTAAGGCAGGCCTCAATCTGGTGTTGCTGCACCTTTCTGCTTTAAGCTAATTTCTTGTCCCTCGGATCCTGCAGCTGATCTGTACTGCCTCCCAGTAAGTTAGGGAACCTGGAGAACTGCTCTAGCTTGTTCCAGCTATGCTGCTGTGCAGAGCCCCCAAGGGCCCTGCCAGTAACTGAGGATATCTGGGGCCCAAGCTATACCTCCCTTCCCCAAATATGCCATCTGAATCAGCAGCCAGGAGGGTGGCAAACCATCCCTTTGGCAGCTCTATGAAGTCCAAGGATTCCTCAGTACTGAGGGAGCCTTCAAGGGGCTGATTAAACTGGATTCAGCTTAAGTAAGGTTGACAATCTTCCCCATTAAGGTGAGTTAGTAAAATTCTGTTATCGTGCAACAAGTTGGATTCAATGAGGGCCTGATTCTGAGTTTACATTACCTAATCCACACAGGGGTAGGTAAGATCAGAATCAGGCCCCAGGTGCTTTTATTCACCTTACAGAGTAACAGCCGTGTTAGTCTGTATTCGCAAAAAGAAAAGGAGGACTTGTGGCACCTTAGAGACTAACCAATTTATTTGAGCATGAGCTTTTGTGAGCTACAGCTCACTTCATCACATGCTCAAATAAATTGGTTAGTCTCTAAGGTGCCACAAGTCCTCCTTTTCTTTATTCACCTTAGTATTTTTTAAAACAATTACTTCTGTGATATGTGGAACAAATATGGTGTTTGAAAACCAATAAAAAGCCTAGAAGCACTATCAGCTATTTGGGTGCTATAAGAGTTGAATTTCCTGTAATAGATACCTTGATCTGCTTTTGCAACTCTTACAATTAAATGATACATGAATAAATACTGTACCAATATCAGCTCTCAGTAATCCAAAGAGTAAGCATCAGTCTACAGACTAAACACATTGCCCAAGTTGAATTGAAAACTTACCTGGTAAGTATGTGTAGCTCCAGGATCAATCCGAAAAGCTTTCGTAAGTGGATTTGAGTTTATTATTAAAGGATATCCTGAAGCCACTTCAGAAGGTGATGGTGATAAAGTAACACTAAACGTATGAACCAAAACATAAGCTGAAGAATTTTCTGTCACATTGCCTGTAGCAGGCAAGCCATTAAGTGACAGTGTTTTTCCCCCTGCATATTTGAAAAGGAAAGTAAAATTACACTTCTGTGAAGGGTTCCAGAGTAGCAGCTGTGCTGCAAAAAGAACAGGAGGACTTGTGGCACCTTAGAGACTAACCAATTTATTGGAGCATAAGCTTTCATGGGCTACAGCTCACTTCATGCCCTCTCTGTGAATGTCAGCTGGGACAGAGCACACACCTTCTGCCACGTGCTGTGAACAGAAATGACCTGAAACTCTTCTCATGCTGATATGAATTGTGATGTTACACTGCTGTCGAACCCATGCAAGTGACAGGAGGCTCAAACTATTTATTTTCTGCTTAAATGCTGGGGCTCTGCCACTGCAAGTTACTGATGTTAATGCAGTATTGTTACTCCATTGCTTGTATTCGCATGATAGCTAGAAATATCAGTCACCTGATACCCCCTGCTGCTGCCTCTCTGCACTGAATCACATTAAAAATCAAAAGGAAAAGGAGGACTTGTGGCACCTTAGAGACTAACCAATTTATTTGAGCATAAGCTTTCGTGAGCTACAGCTCACTTCATCGGATGCATTCAGTGGAAAATACAGTGAGGAGAGTTATATACACACAGAACATGAAAAAATGGGTGTTACCATACACACTGTAAGGAAAGTGATCACTTAAGATGAGCTATTACCAGCAGGAGAGCGGGGGTGGGGGGGTGGGGGAGGAGAAAAAACCTTCTGTAGTGATAATCAAGGTGGGCCATTTCCAGCAGTTAACAAGAACGTCTGAGGAACAGTAGAGGGTGCAGGGCGGGGGGAGGGGGGAAAATAAACATGGGGAAATAGTTTTACTTTGTGCAATGACCCATCTACTCCCAGTCTTTATTCAAGCCTAAGTTAATTGTATCCAGTTTGCAAATTAATTCTAATTCGGCAGTCTCTCGTTGGAGTCTGTTTTTGAACTTATTTTTTTGAAGAATTGCAACTTTTAGGTCTGTAATCAAGTGACCAGAGAGATTGAAGTGTTCTCCAACTGGTTTATGAATGTTATAATTCTTGACTTCTGATTTGTGTCCATTTATTCTTTTACATAGAGACTGTCCAGTTTGACCAATGTACATGGCAGAGGGCCATTGCTGGCACAGGATGGCATATATCACATTGGTAGATGTGCAGGTGAACGAGCCTCTGATAGTGTGGCTGATGTTATTAGGCCTTATGATGGTGTCCCCTGAATAGATATGTGGACACAGTTGGCAACGGGCTTTGTTGCAAGGATAGGTTCCTGGGTTAGTGGTTCTGTTGTGTGGTGTGTGGTTGCTGGTGAGTATTTGCTTCAGGTTCAGGGGCTGTCTGTAAGCAAGGACTGGCCTGTCTCCCAAGATCCATGAGAGTGATGGGTCGTCCTTTAGGATAGGTTGTAGATCCTTGATGATGCGTTGGAGAGGTTTTAGTTGGGGGCTAAAGGTGATGGCTAGTGGCGTATTGTTATTTTCTTTGTTGGGCCTATCCTGTAGTAGGTGACTTCTGGGTACTCTTCTGGCTCTGTCAATTTGTTCCTTCACTTCAGCAGGTGGGTATTGTAGTTGTAAGAATGCTTGATAGAGATCTTGTAGGTGTTTGTCTCTGTCTGAGGGGTTGGAGCAAATGCGGTTGTATCGTAGAGCTTGGCTGTAGACAATGGATCGTGTGGTATGGTCTGGATGAAAGCTGGAGGCATGTAGGTAGGAATAGCGGTCAGTAGATTTCTGGTATAGGCTGGTGTTTATATGACCATCGCTTATTAGCACCATAGTGTCCAGGAAGTGGATCTCTTGTGTGGACTGGTCCAGGCTGAGGTTGATGGTGGGGTGGAAATTGTTGAAATCATGGTAGAATTCTTCAAGGGCTTCTTTTCCGTGGGTCCAGATGATGAAGATGTCATCAATGTAGCACAAGTAGAATAGGGGCACTAGGGGACGAGAGCTGAGGAAGCATTGTTCTAAGTCAGCCATAAAAACGTTGGCATACTGTGGGGCCATGCGGGTACCCATAGCAGTGCCACTGATTTGAAGGTATACATTGTCCCCAAATGTGAAATAGTCACAAAGTTCATCCACCAGGTTTGCCGTGACATTATCGGGGATACTGTATTCAAAAACCAGTCCGAGAACACTTCAATCTCTTTGGTCACTCAATTACAGACCTAGAAGTGGCAATTCTTCAACAAAAAAACTTCAAAAACAGACTCCAACGAGAGACTGCTGAATTGGAATTAATTTGCAAACTGGATACAATTAACTTAGGCTTGAATAAAGACTGGGAATGGATGGGTCATTACACAAAGTAAAACTATTTCCCCATGTTTATTCCCCCCCCCCACACTCCCCACTGTTCCTCTGACGTTCTTGTCAACTGCTGGAAATGGCCCACCTTGATTATCACTACAAAAGGTTCCCCCCTCCCCCTCCCCCGCTCAACTGCTGGTGATAGCTCACCTTAAGTGATCACTCTCTTGTTACTGTGTGTATGGTAACACCCATTCTTTCATGTTCTCTATGTATATAAATCTCCCCACTGTATTTTCCACTGAATGCATCTGATGAAGTGAGCTGTAGCTCATGAAAGCTTATGCTCAAATAAATATGTTAGTCTCTAAGGTGCCACAAGTCCTCCTTTTCTTTTTATTAAAAATTATGAATTTCTTTTAAAAAAAAATCTTGAGACCTCTTGCTTTGCCTTCTGATTTCTGAGCCTTTATGGTACACTCAAATTTTACTCTCTTGAAAGCTGAGATCCTCATGCAATCTACAGATTAAAGCAGTTGGGACTTACAGGGGAAAACACCAAATATCATGAGACTCATGAGAGATGGCAACACTGTTTTTAAAGCAATTTAGTGACTAGAAAAAAAGGAGGAGAGCCAGCAATGTGTGACCAGCCAGCTCTCTGCAAGCACCAGCCAGTGCTTAGTGGTCCATGGACAACAGTTTCAGAAACCTTTGCTGTAAGCAATCCATTCTTCTTTGCTGCTTGTTAGAAGGTCTATTCTTTGTGTATCTGTAATGCTCTCATGCTGAACCCAAATACTGATATTGCCAAGTTAACATGCCATGGTCTGGGTTTTGTGGGGGGTGGGTGAGAGGGTTTGGTTGGTTGATTGGTTGGTTTTTAATTCACCAACTGTTCACTAACATGAACCTAGAAAAAAAGTCTAAATTCTACTGGCCTGATCCTTATCGCTTTGTACCTGGTACAGTCATTTATATCTGTGCAAAGTGGGTATAAAACACTACCAGTCTGATTTTTAGTGTAAATGACTACATCAGTGTTTAAAAAGCGACCAGATCAGAAGAGGGTATAAAACGTTACCATTTACACAAGCTTTAAGGTGGTGGAGAACTGGGCTCTATACATGTCTTTATGGCAAGGTCTTCTTAAAACTTGCTACAAACATAGGTCAAGTTCATGTCATTTTAAAAACTACAATTTTTCTTTAATTCAATTAACCCACAAATGAAATATGAACAAAACCTGGAGCTGCCTAAAGTGAACTGACTTTGCTTTTTTGAAAATTCACCTGCTTTCCCACCCCAATACTCTCATCTTGAACCATGGACGTTATTCTGTAGCACAGCATCCGGCATAATATTATTGTAATGGTATATAAATGATCACAATGGGCCGAAATCTCCTGACAGTTATACTGATGCAGCCCCATGGCTCACTGCAGTCCGGTAACAAAACAGCTGTTCCTTGAACTCTTTTGTCAAAAGTTCTGATCTCAAAAGTACACTTTAGGTCCCTTAAGAGAAACTATAACAGACAAGAATGATTTAAATTTAGCAATGGAATAAAATAGTGTTCTTACCAGATATTCTTCCCAACAAAACCAAAAGAAGAAAAATGTTCTGCCTCTTCCCTAGAATCCTGCCATCCATAGTCCTAGGATGTGAACTGAAAGAAGATCTGGGTCTTATTTGCCTCAGTCTGCTTCAGCTCCACCTAAATTTTTCTTCCTTGTCATGCTGTCCAGTAAGAAATCAAACAAAGGTTCTGCCGTATCTAAGGGAGTTTCTAAACACCATCAGCCTGTTTGCTCTTCAGTGGACGGCTCCTTGCTGACATACCATAAAATATCCCTTAAACTGCAATCCTTTTAGAATGACAAAGAAGGAGGGGAATAGATAATACAATGCCGGCTTGATAATTCTGAGGAATGAGGTGTTCTCTCTCCATAGACCAGGGACAATATTGGGTGCAGCATTGCATGTTTCCCCATGCTGCTCGTGTGTTTCACACCTGTTCTGGGGTGTCAGAGTCATTTAGGACTTGTCTACACTAGAAGGGTTTTGCCACTATAGTTATACTGGTATATCCATTCTCACAAAATCCTCTAGTGTGCACTCAATGTATCGTTATTGCTTATGAGAGCACAGGGCTTTTCCCTTGCCTCTGTTCTGCAATGACATGAGCAGGTCCCCCTCCCTCCATGCTCTGTGTCATAACTTTTGTCCTGTATTTTCTCTCTTCTATAAATATATATTTGAGCCTGTTGGTTTGGTTCTTCCTTTGTCTGAATGCCCACACAGATCCCTTTGCCAACAATAGATCAGTGCTCATGTGCACAGTTACATAAATCAGACTTCTCCACAATCAGTTTGCAAACACCTAGAAGATAATAAGGTGATAAGGAACAGTCAGCATGGATTTGTCCAGAACAAATCATGTCAAACCAACCTAATAGCTTTCTTTGACAGGGTAACAAACCTTGTGGATAGGGGAATAAGCGGTAGATGTGGTATATCTTGACTTTAGTAAGGCTTTTGGTACTGTTTTGCATGACCTTCTCATAAACAAACTAGGGAAATGCAACCTAGATAGAGCTACTATAAGGTGGGTGCATAACTGGTTGGAAAACCATTCTCAGAGAATAGTTATCACTGGTTCAAGCTGGAAGGCCACATCAAGTGTGGTCCCACAGTGATCAGTTCTGGGTCCTGTTCTGTTCAATACCTTCATTAATTATTTAGATAATGGCATAGAGAATACACTTCTAAAGTTTGCGGACGATACCAAGCTGGGAGGGGCTGTAAGTGCTTGGAGGATAGTATTAACATTCTAAATGATCTGGACAAACTGGAGAAATGGTCAGAAGTAAAAAGGATGAAATTCAATAAGGACAAATGCAAAGTACTCTGCTTAGGAAGGAACAATCAGGTGCACACATACAAAATGGGAAATGACTACCTAGGAAAGAATACTGCAGAAAGGGAACTGGGGGTCATCATAGTAGTGAATCACAAGCTAAATATGTGTCAACAGTGTAACACTATTGCAAAAAAAGCAAACATCATTCTGGGATGTATTAGCAGGAATGACGTAAGCAAGACACGAGAAGTCATTCTTCTGCTGTACTTCACACTGACTTCAGGGACAATGTGGCAGGAAAACAAGGGACACTGGCTTATCAAAGGAATTTCTCAACCACAGCAGCTCTGCCTTGTCACTCTCTGAGCCTCATGGTACATCTATGATAATAATGATGCCCACGCTCTCCTCCACTCCCCCCTACTCCATCAGCCCCCCCCATCATCTCATCAGCCTCCTGCTGTGATGGGACACCCCCCCCCCCCATCCCACTGACAGCAAGCCGAAAAAGTGTCCCTGCACTCAGGCAGTGCCAATTAGGCACACCTGTAGAGGATGCTCTACTTGGAGAAGGGGAGCTTCAAAAGGTGAAGTGGGTCACAGACAATGTGGGGAAGTTTGCCCAAGAAGAGAGGCTGCTGGAGACCACTAGCGAGCCCAGTAGCCAGGGGAGTCCAGCCCAAGACAGTGACTGGCTTTTCCTTCCTCCCCCCTCTTAGAGTAGGGCAGACAGACACTGCAGCCCTGAGAAGGGATCTGATGTCCACTCTCTGTCAGTTCCCCGTAGCTGGACCTGAGGAGCGGTGCCAAGAACAGGAGGTAATTAGAATCAGAAAGGACCCTGGAAGTAAGCCCAACTCCCGCTGGAAAAAGTGAGCTTGCTCGGGAGTGGGGATTCCAGAAAGGACCCTAGGGCATGAGTTTTAAAGAGATGATGGCTGAGCCCAAGCTGCGAGCCAGCTGACTACAAGTGGTGGAGAATATGGGCAAGATGTCCTATGCCTGATACAAGGCCTTGAGACAGAAACATGTTTCACACCAGACCTTGGGGAGGGATTATCAGTCGATATGGACCCTGAGCACCGGTGTAAGTGGATGGTAGAATGACAACAGCAGCAGGCCAACCAGCAACAGCAATTTCAGCAGCGAACGTTGCCGCAGTGGATGATCCAGCAGCAGGCCCAGCCAGCACAGCCACAGCAGCTTCTGAAGGCGATTGCGACCCACCAGCAAGAACGCCAGAGTATCTTTCTGCTGCAATTTAAAAACCCCTTTCCCTGAACAGGAAGGCCTAGCATGGCCCAATCAGCCAAGAGGAGCGCTGCTACCTGTGCCGCTGAAGATGGGCCCAAACCATGATCCAGAGGCATTCCTCAGCTCCTGTCAGGGGTAGTGTTGGCCTCTCAATGGCCTCCAGAGCACTGGGCATTAGTTTTAGCTCCCTACCTGATAGGACAGGCACAACCAGCCTAAAATAACCTTGATCTAGAGCAAGCTAGAGACTACCGTCGGTTGAAGACAGCTATTTCAGATTATCTGGATATATGCGAAGAGACACTTAGGTACCGCTTTAGGCTGGAGACCTACCCCAAGGAGGCACGCCTGCGAGTAGTGACGCAATGTTTAAAAGAGGACTGCTGATGGTGGCTTCACCCCAAGGAACACATCAGGCTTCAATTTGCAGAATTGGTCCTCACAGAGCAATTCTTGTCTATACTTCTGGTGAGGGGCCAGGAGTGGGTTTTCCGGCATTGCCCTGACTCATTGTTGGATGTGGTACAACTGATGGAAAATTTTCTCACAGCCAAGGGGTTGCTGGAGATGGGACACACACTGCCTCCAGCTGCTCACCAACTAGGGCAGATGCTGCACCCTGGGCATGACAGAAAACATGTACAAACCCCACTGCAGCAACCTGAGCTACTTAAAATCAAGGCCCATCAATGTACCATCCATCAACTGATGGCCTGGTGGAAAGATTTAAAAACATGTTAAAAGAGATGTTGAAGAGGTTTGTTGGGACAGACACTGGGACCGGCTCCTCCCACCACTTCTGTTTGTCATGCGAGAGGTACCCCAACCCTCCACGGGTTTCTTTTGAACTGCTCTATGAATGCCAGCCCCAAGGTATCTTGGATGTGTTGCTAGAGGGATGGAAGGAGCAAGGTGAAACGTGCTTGGGGAAACCCAATACATCTTCTGACTACTGGAACGTCTGAAGAAGTTGAGCACTTTCGCAGAGGAGGACCTCATCCAGGTTCAACAGAGTCAAGAACATCCACAGGGCGTACTTACAAACCTTCCACCCCAGAGACAGGGTGTTGCTCCTGTTACCATTCTCTGAGTCAAATGGCCTGTTTGATTAAGAAATCAAGCTACCCAGCAAGAGGAAAGAGACAAAGATTTATCATGTACATTTTCTCAAGTCATGGAAGACTCGGAGTCCTCCTGATAGATCCCTGGCTGGTGAGCCCTGAACTAGGTCCTGAGGTAGCTGCTAGCCCAGAGTCTGGACTCAAGCCATTGAATGGGGCTCTTGCACCAGAATAGAAGGCCTAGTTTTTGCAAATGATCTGAGACTTTAGTACGTTCAGGTGTTCTGCAAAAGCCTGGGGAGGACACACATCATACAACATCATCTGGAGGCTGCACCAAAACAAATGGTTAAAGAAATTCTCGGCCCTTACCTCCAATCTCGGGGATTCCACAACCTCCCTTGGAAGCCTATTCCGGAGCTTAACTATACCCTATAGTTAGAAACTTTTTCCTAATATCTAACCAAATCTCCCTTGCTGTAAATTAAGCCCATTATTTCTTGTCCTACCTTCAGTGGACATGGAGAACAATTGAGCACTATCCTTTTTCTAAGAGCCCTTAACACATCTGAAGACTGATAACAGGTCCCCCCTGTCAGTATTCTTTTCTCAAGGCTAAACATCCCAGGTTTTTTTAACCTTTCCTCATAGTTCAGATTTTCCAAACCCTTTATCATTTTTGTTGCCCTGTTCTGGACTCTCTCCAATTTGTCCAATTTCCTAAAATGTGGTGTCCAGAACTGGATACAGTACTTCAGCTGAGGCTTCACCAGCAATGTTCCCTCTAATTTTTTCTACCCATGTGCAGACTAAATATTGTTATGTGCACCAAGGTAATGTGCAGATGTGCGCCACCAGTAGAAACAAAAAACTTAGGTATAATATATATTTTAAAGAAATTACCAGTAGGGATAATTACTCCAGCCAGGACAAGGAAGGCATTTTAGAACTCACTACTCAAAGAATTAAATTTAAGTGGGAGAGCGAAATAAAAGTTATGAAATGCATAGACCAGTCAAAAAACTCAAATAACAGCACTTTGAAAGAATAAAATTACAGAGAATATATGTGCATTGCAGGAAGTACCAAGAAGTAACAACAACAACAATAGTGTTGGGAGGTGTGTGACACAGACAGTGTGTGTGAGAGAGAAACACAGACTGTGTGTGAGAGACTGTGTGACAGAGACTCTGTGTGTGTGAAAGAGAGACACACAGAGACAGTGTGTGTGTGTAAGATACACAGACTCTGTGTGTGTGAGAGAGAGACACAGAGACTGTGTGTGTGTGTGTTTGTGCTGGCTGCTGGGGAAGTTTCTGAGAGACACCTGTCTGCTGTCTCTTTAAGGCACTCAGTGAAAGCTCTCCTCCTCCTGAACCATGTCCTCCTGCCCCGCTCTGTGGAGATGGGGTACATGGGGAGGGGGAAAGACAGAATGTGTGTGTGTGTGAGAGAGAGAGAGAGAGAGAGATGGT